ATAAACAAAATGATTTTTTAGTGTAAATATGTCCCATTCATGTGCTAACAGTGCATGGGACATATTATACTAAAAACTATTCATTGTTAGGGGCGCCTGGGTGGCTCAGTTGTTGGATCTTCCAACTCTTGGTTTCCGTTCAGGTCATGATCTCAGGGTTGTGTCCAGCCCCACGTTGGGCCCCACGCTCAGTGTGGAGTCTGCTGGTCCCTCTCCCCCTCCAGTCCTCCCCCTGCCCTCTCTCCCTCTCAAAATAAATAAATAAATAAATAAATAAATAAAATCCTTTTAAAAATTTGCTAAATTTGAATTTCAGATGCACAACAAACTTTTTAGTATCAATATGTTCCACGCAACATCTGGAAATACTTACACTCAACGTTTGCATGGAATCTGCTTACACTAAACGAATTATTCCTCATTAAATCTAGATTTCAGATCAACCACAAATCATCTTTTGGCATAAGGATGCCCCATGGTCTCCTTGGGACATACTTACACTAAATGTTGTAGGGGTCATACTTACACTAAAAAAAAAAAAAAAAAAAAATCACTTGGGGTTGATCTGAAATGAAATCATGTAACCAGGTGTCCCGTATTTTAGGGCACGTCCCTACCCGTCCGGCTCCTGAGGGGCCCACCTGAGGGAAGTCATTACTGTCCGTGGCCTGCAGGGTCTGGCTGGCTGTCTCCAGAAGCTCCTCTGAGCTCTCCAGGGCCCGGGCGCAGGCGGCCAGCTGGTTCTGGGAGTGGCATGTCATGGACGGAAGAGACACCTCACTGCATGGCATCAAACCCTTTGGGGCTTCCCACTGCCTTTGGGATTCAGAGACCCTTGCCTTTCTCCAACTCCGGGTGGGGGAGGGAGGGGGGAGGGAAATGGGGCATCCCTCCTGGTAGCAGTCCAGAATCACCTGGGGATCGCTTTCTTTAACTGGGAATCCCTCTTTTTAAAACTCACATGTCCGGGCCACACCTGAGCCCTGGGGCCCCCAATTCTCCTGGGATTGAGGATCTGATGTTAAGAAGTTGTCCAGGACGGTCTGAGGCAGCCCCAGTGCCTGGGTTTAGAGTCCAAGACCCCCTAGGAGCTGCGGGGTTGTGGGGGGGCAGCATTTAGCAAGAGGGGATGTTGCCAGATCTGGGGGACCCATGGGAAGGGCTGAGAAATTGGAGGTGCTGGGTGAGGACTGGAGAGAGGGAGCAGCCAGACATGGGGGTGGGGCTCTGGTGACAGAGAAGGGGGGCAGGAGGTGGGAGGAACAGAGATCAAGGAGAGCAGGTGGGGGCGGGGACTGATGGGTCAAGGCCAGGGAGGGGGCTGAGAAGAGACCAAGAAAAAGAGGAAGTGAGGCCAATACCCCTGGGGTGTCTAGTTCTGGACACCGGAGACCCTTGGGGGTCTCTCCAAGACGCAGGGTGGGAGGACGAACTGGTTTGGTGGCAGACACGGAAGCCATATGGGCTCTGCTGAGTCTGAGGGGTGCCGTAGGGAATCGGGTCTGGGTGGCGTCTGGGGGGCCCCCTCCCTCCCCCACAAACCTGCAGTTCATAGGTGCGGCTGGCACGGTCCTGCTTTATCTTCATGAGCATGCCCTCCTTCAGCTCCTCCAGGAGGGAAAAGAGGGACTGGAACTCGGCCTCCAGGTCCTCCTGCACCTTGGTGGAGTTTGCCTTGGAGAGACGTTGCGGGGTCAGCCAGCCCAGAGGTGGCCAAAGCCCATGCTCAGATGGGGAAACTGAGGTCTGGACACCAAAGCCGGGCCATGTGTCGGATAGGCAACAGCAGGAACAGGCTAACTCCTCTGGCTGCCCCTCCCGCCCCCCCCCCCCGCCCCCGTCCCTTCCACCCACCTGGCCAAGAGGTCCCCACTTCCTTCCATCCCTCCCCCCACAGGTGTCAGCCTCACCTCCACGTTCAGCAGCATCTGCTTGAGGGAGTAGATGAAGCTCTGAATCTCTTCATTCTTCACAGCCAGGGTAGTAATGATCTTCCGCAGGGCCTCCTGCCGCCACGGGAAGCACGCATACAGGCAGGGCTGGTAAGCCGCCCTGGGCCAGGCCAGGCTCCCCCACCAGGGGCTTCCCACCCTGCCTTCCTGGGATCCAGGAGATGCGGGAGCCACTGTGCCGGTGAGCTCAGGCACCCGCCACGAGGCAGGCCCTGGGCAAAGCTCTGGCCGCGTGTTCCCTCCCCTGGCAGATGGGCACTGCAAGCAAGCCCGTTTTACAGCACAGGAAACTGAGGCTCCAAAGGAGGCTCTGGGGAAGGGGCAGACTCTGGCCCTGAGCCAGGTCCGCCTCCGCACAAAGCCTTCAACCTCGTACCTATCCGAGGGCGGGGCATGGGGTGAGGGGCTCTGTGGGGAAAGAAAAAAAAAAACCCCAGAGCAAAATCATGCCTGTAGAAAATGGGCTAACCTGGGGAAGGCGATACCTGGGGAACGGGGATTAGCAAGAAGAAAAGAGGAACCTGGAGAACGGGGTGCCTGAGAGCCCAGGTAACCGGGCAGGGGGAGAGCGAGGTCTGGGTGAGGGGACGCCTGGAGAGAAGGAAGCCGCGTGGGAGGATCCTGCTGGGGCCTGGAGCCCTGACCCAGGCCTCGGAGGGGTCGCATTCCTGGGGTGCAGGGTCGGTGGGACCACCAGTGTTGAGCTAGAGGGGTGTCCACCCGGGAGGGGCGGGGCAGAGCCCGGACACCTGGTCCGCAGTCCGCATGGAAGGCGTGGGGGATGGGTCAAGGCTGGGGCCGGGATTCTGGGCTCCGGTGCCGGGCATGGAAGGGATCCCGTCTGGATCCCGGCCAAGATGAGGAGAGGTCGGGGTGACGGCTGGGGGGGAGCTGCGTCCCGAATTAGGGGGCTAGATCCGGGCGGGGTTGGGGCGGGGGTGGGGCCTCCGCCGCAAAGCAGCTGCGGGGGTTGGGGGGGCGCTGCGGCATCACCTGGTCCCCTCCCCCTTGTCCACCCCCACCGGGGGCCCCGCCCCGCCCCGCCCCGGTCCTACCCTCTGGTCCTCCATGGCTTCAGCCCAGGTCGTCCCCGGCCCGGCCCGCGGGCCCCTCTCGCTCTTCTAGTCCTCAAGCTGCCTTTGCCGCGACCACGAGCCAATGGCCCGCCGAGCCCTGCCCGCCGCCGCCGCCGCCGCCGCCGCCGCGCCCCCCGTCAGCGCTCCATCACTGGCCGCAGTGCGCACGCGCGACCCCCGCGGCAGGCTGGGAAACGTAGTCCGGCGCTGGGGTCCCTGAGAGCCGGGACCCCCCAGAGCCTGGGGCCTGCCAGGCGGCTTTGGTAGTGATGACTGAGCTGCGGAGAGCCGGGAGCTGGGAAGCAGGTTGCCTGCGTTCGACCGCCGGCCCTGCTGTGTGACCTCAAGCCCATCTCCAGTCCTCCTGATGCCCAAGCCTACCCACTCTTGCACCCGTGTCATTTCGTGCCAGCTCCTCTAACCGGAATTCCATACACCCTCCCCACCGCCTCACCCACCCGACCCCCGCCATGAGATATGGCCCCTAACCGCTCACACTCCTTGCATTCTCTCCTAGCATTTACATTTTGCCGGAGCAGATGTTCAGCCTCCAATGACTTCTTTCTCTCCCCAAGGCACAACTGAACTCCTGTACATCCCACAAAGACCCAGGCTCTCATATCTCCTCCAGAAGTTTCTCTGTCTGACCGGCAGCCACAGGTCTCTGAATGTCTGTGTCTGGCTTGGTCTTCCCTGTCAGCGTGGGGCCAGATCTATCCAGGATCTCCAGCATTGTCTCTCTGCAAAAGGTGGGGGAAGGATGGAGTTTGAGAGGAAAGTCAGCCAGAGGGAGGAGGTGGCCTGAGCAGGGGAGGCTGGGAAGCTGTGTGTGTCTGCTGGGGCCGTGTGGGCAGAGTGTCACGGCAGGCAGAGGTCATCCTGTTGTTGATAGGAACAACACTGTCCCAGAGCACATGGGCCCTCTTCTTTTGGGGTGAGAAAAGAGGTCATCATGTGATTGCGGTGACACACTGAGGCCTGAAGTCACCTCCTCCCAGCCACTGGGTGACTGATGCAGGGTTGGCGGAAATTCCAGGGCCTATGAACCCCCTCAACTGGGCCCCCAAACTTCTCTGCAGTCTGTGGGGACAGGGGAAGCCCCCATACCTGTTGTGGGACCTGAAGCCATCAGTGCAAATCTACTCTGAACCTTAAAGGAGGTTGCTTTGGGGGCCAAATACCGGAAGCCAGGATTCTGATCTTCAGTCCAAGCTCAGGCCTCCGCTCCCAGCCCCCCGTCCCCGTACCTGCATTCCCTAAACTCCCGATGTGCATCCCAGCCCCAGCTCAGGTGTGTTTATTTTTTTTTTTTTTAAGATTTTATTTATTGGGGCGCCTGGGTGGCTCAGCAGGTAAGCGTCTGCCTTCGGCTCAGGTCATGATCCCAGGTGCTGGGATCGAGCCCCGAATCGGGCTCTTTGCTCAGCAGGGAGCCTGCTTCCCCCTCTCTCTCTGCCTGTCTCTCTGCCTACTTGTGATCTCTCTGTGGCAAATAAAGAAATAAATAATCTTTTTAAAAAAAGATTTTTATTTATTTATTTATTTGACAGAGAGAGAGAGAGCACAAGCAGAAGGAGCAGCAGGCAGAGGGAGAGGGAGAAGCAGACTCCATGCTGAGCAGGGAGCCCGATGCGGGGCTCGATCCCAGCACCTGGGATCATGACCTGAGGGGAAGGCAGCCGCTTAACTGCCTGAGCCACCCAGGGGCCCTCAGGTGTGTTTGAATAGCATCTCCCGGAAAGATTTGCTCTCACTGGAATGCATTATCCCATTTACGTACACATACTGCCTTTCAGATTTAAAAAAAAGCAAAAATGAAAGATCTTTAGGGAAACCCAGGCACCTGAGGAGAGGAAGTGGGGCTCTAAGCAGGTTTAGTTACTAGACCTCTGGCCTGGGTGTCACATCTGCATCCGTGACGGGGGTGGAGCTTGTGGCAGGAAGTCTGTCACTTAGGATGGGGGGGGTTGGGGAGATGGGGTGGGGGTGGGACGCTAGCCAGGAGAGGGGTGCCTGGTGGGCCAGGAATGGAGTCCCTAGGCACAGCGCTGGTCCTCCTGGTGCAGTTCTGGGGTGAGTACTTGCCCCCCCCCCCACCGCCGTCCTCCCTCCTGTTGCCCATCATCTCCGCAGCATGCCCCCTGGTTCTGAGCCCTGGAAACGAAACTCTGTGCTTTGCTAAACAGGGAATGCTTCTCTGTGATACTCAGAAGCTTGCGAGGGCTGAAGGTTGTAGCAGGATACTCGGAGTGGGTCCGTAGAGTAGAACTCACACCAGCACCTACACACCAGGCTTGCGTGAGCTGGTGCCGCTGGCGTCTTTCTTCTCCTTCCACGGCATTCCTTTTCTTACCCTTGTGCGGCCTGCTCGCTTTTCTTTCTTGCTTGCTTGCTTCCTTCCTTCCCCTTTTTTTTTTTTTAAATATTTAATTAATTTATTTATTTGACAGAGAGCAAGAGCGGAGTGGCAGGCAGAGGGAGAGGGAGAAGCAGACTTCCTGCTGAGCAGGGAGCCCGATTCGAGGCTCGATCCCAGGACCTTAGGATCATGGCCTGAGCCGAAGGCAGAGGCTTAAGTGACTGAGCCACCCAGGCGCCCTCTCTTCCTTCCTTCTCTCTTTCTCTCTCTGTCTCTGTCTCTCTCTTTCCTTTTTTTCTTCTGACACACCAAGTTCAATCCCACCTCTGGGCCCTCGCACCTGCTGTTCCCTCTGCCTGGATCTCACCTCTCCAGCATCAGGAGCGATCACATCTCAGATGCCAGCATCTTGAGCCAAACACACCCCTTCTGGGGGCTCCGACAGACACCTCAGACATCTCGGGGGGCCCAGGGCAAACTTTTCTTCTACTCCAGCCCTGGTCTTCTGTCAGGGTCCTCCATATTGGCCCAAAGCCACCGCCATTCACATGGTCCCTGAGGCTGAAACCTTGGGAATCTGCTACTGTCCCTCTTTCCCTCTTGCAATCCATTCCGCTGCGGATTGCTTTTTTCCAGGGTTCAGTCTGTGCCTATGCTCCTGGCCCTCATCCTCCAGCCACCCTGACCCCCACCCACACCCCACAGTCAGTTCTTACCATAGCAGTCAGGGTAATCTTTTTAAAACTTAAATCGGGGGCCGACTGGCTGGCTCAGTTGATTGAGTGTCCGACTCCTGATCTCAGCTCTGGTCATGATCTCAGGGTCTTGGGATCCTGACATGGGGATTTGAGTTCAGTGTGTGTGTGTGTGCGGGGGTGTCTGCTCGAAATTCCCTCTCCCCCTGCCCTTCCCCCTGCTTGTATGCTCTCTCTCTCTCTCTCAAGTAAATAAAACATCGGGCTCCCTGCTCAGCGGGGAGTCTGCTTCTCCTTCTGCCTCTGCTGCTCCCTCTGCTTGTGCTCTTTCACGCTCTCTGTCAAATAAATAGACAAAATCTTTAAAAAGAAGAAGAAGAAGGAGAAGGAGAGGACTTTGAGGCTCAGATCATGTAGCGTCAGCCCTGTGGGCTGGGCTCAGGAGGGGAGTGAGTCACACACACACACACACACACACACACACAGAGGACAGCCTTACTCTCTTGTATCCCCTCATCCTGCAAGGAGCCACAGGCCTGAGAGTGCAGCAGGAGCCCAAGTGGCTGTGGGCGACTTCGGGCAGCCGGGTGACCTTGGCCTGCCAAGTGATACAGTCCCAAGTCTGGGAGCGGCTCCGTGTTGAGTGGACCAAGGACGGCGTGTCCCTGTGTGAGCCACACATCACCAACGGCAGCCTCAGCCTGGAGGCCTGTGGGTCCCAGGGACAACTTTCCTGGAAGCCACCTGGCAATCTCACCCTGCGGCTGGACCACGTGAGCCTCAACGACAGCGGGAACTACGTGTGTTCGGTCACCGAGGAGATTCCTAACCTGAACATGAAGCAGGGCAAGGGCACGCAGCTCCTGGTGGAGAAAGGTATGGGGGCCCGTGGAGGGAAGAAGGGATCTTAAGGCTCTAGAATCTCAAAGTCCTGGGAACATAAACTCTAAATTCTTCCAACAGGATTCTTAGAAACAGAGATCCTGCAAAGTCAAGAACATCCAGTTCTAGACTCGCAGAACCAAAGACATGCTGAAACTTATAATTCGAGACCAGGACTCAGCAAACATTCTGGAAAGGGCCACAGAGCACATACTTCCTGCTCTGTGTTCTATGTTTGACTCCACTCTGCCGTTACAGTGTGAAAGCCGCCCTAGACCGGACAGGCGCAAATGGGTGGGGCTAGGTTCCAATAACACTTTATTTAAAAAAAAAAAATCAGTGGGCCTCATTGGGTCCACAGGCTGTAGTTTGCTGAGCCTTCTTCCCGAACATCCCCTTGCACCACCACCTTGCTCAAGAAACAAGATTTCCTGCCTCCCACAGCCCTTTCCCCCCACCAAGCCCACACCCATTATCCTGTCTTTTAGCCACATAGATGTATTTTGCTGGCTTTGTGTGCTACTTAAGGGAAATCACAGAGTGCATTCTTTTTTGTGTCTGGCTTCCTTCATTCAACATTGACTTCCCCCCACTCAGCCAGAAGGTCCGTCCATCCCGGTCATGCAGCAGCGGAATGTTCTTTCTCTTTGCTGTAGACCCACCGCTGTCTGTCCTCCAATCCAATTTCCCGTGATGGGCATTTGCACAGCTCCCAGTTGTTGGCAATCACGAATGAGGGCGCTGTGAGCAGTTTTCAGCTGGTCGTTGGCTAGCCTATGTACACATTTTTGTTGTGCCTCAGACTATTCGAGAATCTCGAACCATAAGACAGAATCATGCAGATTTTGAATCCTAGCGGTGTAAAATTCTAGGCTCTTAAAACTACAACATTCTTAATGGGGAATCTTGCTCCTCAGGAAGCAAGAATTGGTTCTTGGGGAGCAATGAAAATTTTGATTTTTTCTGTATAAAGTATGGATGTATGGACAGTACAAAAAGAGAGTCACACTATGTCTCTGGTACTAAAATGTCATGGGGAAACAAAGTACGATTTTAAAAGTCTCTTTGGTGGAGGTGGTAATGAAAAAAGGTTGAGAAACACTGATGTAAAGGAATAGAAGATTCTAGAGTCTTAGAATTGCAGAATCTTGAATATTTTCAGTAGGCTTTTAGAAAGTTTCAGTTTCAGAGTGTGTAAGGACAGATAGTTCTCAGGTTCCTCAATGCATGAGACAGGACAGAGTGCCTCCCCAGTTCCTGGCCCAAAGAGGTGCCCATTGCTCTCTGGTTGGCAGTACCCTCCCACCGCCTGCCTCTAGGGCGGTGCACCATGGCCGTCTTGCCTGCCCCCACCTTCCAGTAATGAGAGGAGCAGTTAGCAGTTAGCAGAATCTGGTAGTGGAGGCACCAGGCTGTGCATTGTGGACATCTGCAGGGGTGCGGGCAGGCGCGTGTCCAGCTCCACGCAGCTGGCTCTCCCCCCCCTCCACCAACAGCTGCTTGGTAGCCCCCAGGGACCAATGCCAACTTTATTTTCTTTTTAAGATTTTATTTATTTATTCATGAGAGACAGAGAGAGAGGCAGAAGCAGAGCGAGAAGCAGGCTCCCTGCCCAACGCAGGGGTTCGATCCCAGGGCCCCAGGATCACAATCTGAGCTGAAGGCAGACGCTTAACCCACAGACTGAGCCACCCAGGCGCCCCCCCCAACACCAACTTTTAAACATTCAAGATGAAGAGGTCGGGGCACTGGGCCTCATCTTAGTCACACCAGGAACCTTGGGCTGGAGTTTTTGTCAACTACACAGACCTGGAAACATGTCCCCCATGTCCTCACACAGCTGTTCACTTGCTGTGTGACCTTGGGCAAGTAACTTGGCCCCTCTGTGCCTGTTTCCTTAGCTATGAGTTAGGTGGATTTGAAGTAATTGTATCGAAAGCGTTTATTATGGGGTCTGGAACATGATAAGTCCTCAGTAAACCTAAGTGACTATTTATGTCTGTTATCCTAGTTATTCAGCAAGACTCAAAAGTTCAGGACTGTATAAGCTTTTTCCTTCTATCTTTTCTTTTCTTTTCCTTTCTTTCTTTTTCCTAAAGCAGAAAAGGAAAGGGGAGCTGAGGTGAGCAACACCTCTGTTCAAAGCAGGACGGTGTTGCTGCCTGAGTGCGGGACCCCAGTGACTCAGGCTGAGACTCGGTTTCCTTGTACGAAAAATGGGCTTGACAGCAGAGTTGAGCTAAAACAAAACAACAACAACAACAAAAACCCGGGAGCCCTAAAGGTGGTGGATCCCATGACCAGTATCGGGTATCTCCCGGTGGGAAGGATGGGGCTCCTGATGTCAGTGATGGGGCTTATGGGGACGACAGGGCTTGTGATGGGAATGGTGGAACCTCTTAAGGGAGTGATGGGGTTCGTGGCAAGGATGGTGGAGCTCAGGATGAAAAACATCCGCTCGGCGATTGTTTCACAAGGACCAAGCAAGGCAGAAAAGGGCCGCCTCGCTCATAGAAGAGGAAACAGGTCCAGACGGACACCTGCTCGGACTCAGGCAACATGGCAGGGGCAGAATCCTGACGTCCTTGTGGGGTGGGGGGCCCTGACCCTGAAGGGTGGAGATTGGACTCGAAGGTGCCCCCGAGACACGGGTTTCTTCCCTGCAGATGGCGGGTCCCGGAACCAGACCTCCGACGCAGGTGAGCCCCAGCCCCACCTCCCGCCCCGCCGCCCGCGCCCCGCCCCCCTTCAGACCGTCCCGAACTCCCCCTCCCCAGGACTACCGGTGACGCCGCTGGTGGCAGGGGGCGTGGCCGTGGCCGCCATCGCGCTGAGCGCCTGGGTGTGGGGCCGCTGTCGCAGCCGGCGCGAGGACTCAGGTGAGCGCTCGGGGGTCTGGGCGGGCGGCAGACGCGTTCCGCCGCCGCCCTGCCCCCGCGTGGCGGAGGCGGGAACTGCAGCGGCTTGACCGGGAGGGAGGGCGGGTGGGGCTGCGCGGGGCGGGCGAGAGGAGGGGAATAAATGGAGAAACGCTCCTGTTTGGCCGAAGCAGAGGTAGGCTGGGGAAAGCCAGGCTGTCTCATGGGATTTTCGCCTCAGCGTGTGTCCTCCCTCCCTCCCACCCTTGCAGCGCATCCTCTCTACGGGAACGTCCTCTACCAGCCCCGGGGGGCCCCAAAGAAAACTAAGGTGTGCCGTGCGGAGGGGAAGGTGCTGGACATCCCCAGGGAGGACCAGAAGAGTCAGAGCTTCTATTCGATCTCTTTCCCCCAGCCTCCTAGTCCCCAGCAGCGCCTGGCCCAGAAGACTTGCCTCAGCCCCAGGTCGAATCACCCTATATCTACTGCCCGCGTCTCACCTGACCCACGCCCCTCGCGGCAGCAGAGGCCAGGAGGGCTCCTTGAAGTGGGAAGACGACTCGAAACCCCAGAAAAGACCCCCTCCCACTAACGGCCATGTGAAAATGTGACTGATTTCCCAAAGAGTCAGGGAGTCCAACAGCCCAGCCCAAGACCCCGTCCTCATTACTGTAACGCTGGTCTCCTCCCTCACCCCCAAAGCAATCAATAAAGGCTTATAAAGGAAAGCCAGATTTTGTGATGTTGGGGGTGTTAAAGATGTCTGAGGGGTCGTCTGGGGCTTCCTGAGCCCCAGGATGGCTGTGGGGAGGGTCCACTGTGGCGAGGGGGCTCTGTGATGACTGGCCAGCTCCCCCCTTATCCTTGGAGTGTCATGTCCAATTAGCAGAGAGGCAATGCCCCCAACTTCCACACAGCGCCTTGAGCTGGAAGCACCCCCCCCCCGTCAGTGTGGAGATGAAGGGTGATGGGAGACATAGGGGCTCCCTGGAATTTATCACACACCCCGCCCCCAGTCTCCTGCCTGACTGTCACCTTGATGTGACACCAGCTGGGATCAGCTCCCCTCCCCCACTTCTGCTGTTTCCATGGGGACAGATGTCCTTTCCGCAGCAGCATCAGGCCACGGCTGTCTGCCTGGGTGTGAGGGAGGGGCTGGGTGGGGGCAGGGCTGGCCTGAGAGCCTCCCCCCTCGGTTTCTCCATCTTTGTATCTGTATCAGCTGTCCGGGTTTTCCTCTGACCTCATACGCTCTCACCCTGCCTACCCCGGGCTCTATTACTTGTGATCCCCCCACCCCGGCCCCCATGAGTAATTCAGGCTTCACTCCCAAGTCATCTCCCAAGTGGAGCTGGGGATGACCTTCCCTTCTAAGGGTCTAAGGGTCACTCACCCTCTCCTCTCCCTGGGGATGGGATCCCCGCCTCCCAGAAAGGACACTTGAAACACACAATAACTTATTTATTTTCCAGGCCAGAGAAGTGCTTGGCGACACAATTCTGGACCTTAGCACCTAAGACAGGAGGGCCAAGAAGGCAGCACTGAGGAAGACCCAGGGCCTGGAGGGATGGCGAGTCTCTGGAAAAACCTCTAGTGCTCGCAGCCAGTGATTCTGGGCCCGCCGGGTGCGGGCAGGGGCTGAAGGTGCTGGGGTCAGGGGTTCTGCGTGAACACTGGGTACAGCAGGGCAAGGTGCTCGGCGCCCTGCACAGGCAGTGGCCGGGAGCTGTAATGCAGGACCAGCTCTGGCACGCTGGCGAAGGGGCCACTGTGCTGACCCAGCACGAACTGGTTCTCTCGGGTCCGCGCGAACTTCAGGTGCAGGAAGCTCTGGCTGCTCCTGGGGGACAGGCGTCACAGAGCGCCTTGATCACGCCCAACCTGCTCACGCCCTCCGACCCTAGCTAGAGACCCACTGCCCCTCGTGATCCCCAGAAGCTGGCAGCTGGCATTCCCAAATATTTCTGCTCAATGGCCACTTGGGGGCCAAGCTCTGGGCTTGTTCCCCATTGGCAGGGATGCCTTGCCCGCCTGTGTGCTCTAAAGGCCTCTGGAGGTCCTACATGGTGGCGGCTCCTCCCCTGAAGTCAGGCTACACTTTCCCCCCAAACCTTCTGAGCCCTTGCGCTACCCTTCCTGGGCTTCCCACGAGTTAACCCCCAGTCCGGAGCCCCTTTCCTTTCTTGCATCTCTGGTGAGTGGAATGACTTTGAACCTGGGAATGATCTTATCATGACTAAAATGAATGAAACACATCCTGTTGCTGGGGCACTAGTCTCAGTTCCGTGTGCCTGTGCACACGTGTGTGTTTCATTTCCTAGTGGCAGTATTACCATGAAGCAGGTGCTATTTATATCTTCATTTCGTAGATGAGAAAAGCAAGGCCCAGAAAGGCTGAGTCATTTAGCTAAGGCAACACAGCTGTAAAGTGGCAGAGGCAGGATTTAAAGTGATTCTCCAAGCCCTCTTCAATCTTGCCCTTTCAGGAATCTCACACTCAGATGCCTAGTCGAGTTCTGGGGCTTTTTATAATCACACACACTTGGAATCTTAGGCAGAGAAGCTTGTAGAATCAGGGTCTCAAAGTCAAATGCCTGCAGGGCCGCTAAGAGATTCTGGCCCCGAGAGACACAGTGGGTATGCTTCAACTTTTGGGCTGGTGGAGTTTAAAGGAAATATCTAGTTTCCCACCTCACTCACATCCTAGATCTACTGGATGGCTTGCACTCCACCTTCTTGCATACCCCCAGTGACAGGGTGCTCACTCTCAGTTGGAAACAGGCCTGTGGCCTCCCTAGAAGCCCTGCCCACTGGCTGCTGGCGCCACCCTCTGCTCCCACCAAAAAACCTGAAAGCCAAAGCCCAAAAGCCAGAGGCAGGGAGTCCTGTGAGCCTCGGTCCCTTCAGGGGGCTGGGGGCTCACCTGAGGGACAGGGAGCAGTCTTGGGGACTGGTCTCGCTGAGCCGCACGAGGTAGCTGCCTGCCTTGCAGAGAGACAGGAGGTTCTCGGCGTCTGCCCGGCTCAGTGGGCCGTGAAACCACCTAGGGGGCGGGGGCAGATGTCTCATAAAGGGCGATCCCCCTGCAAACACGCCCCTAGGGGCTGGTGCAGGCACAGCCCTTTCCAGGACTTGTGAGCTCCAGGCAAACGGGTGAGAACAATTCCCCTGGGCTTCTCGAGCAGAGCCTGGTTTTCAGGCGGACTCGGTTTTCCCTGCTGGGCAGCTGAGCCCGGGTCCACATGGAGCTGCTCCCTCCGGTTCAAAAGATCCACCAGACCTGGATCTTTACAGCCTCCCTGGGCTGGGTCCCCAGAGTCCCATTTCCCCTTCCTTAGTCCTTCAAGTTGAACCACTTGCTGCATCTGGCCTTCTGGAGATTTCCCGCACCCCGTATCCCCACCCACCTGCCCACCTGTACCATCATTCACTTAATATTGAACTGAATGTGCTCAGAGAGAGGTTAGCGGTTGTAGCAAGGGCTCAAGACAGAGGAGCGTCACACAGACTTCGTGGGTTTTGTATTGAAAGAAAATGGAACAGCGAAGAAATGCCTCCCCCTGTACCTCCGTGTTCATCAGTCAGTTCTGTCTGGCCCACCTAAGGGGTTTTGGGAATAACTGTGATGAACACGCCGTGGCGTCTTGGAACTGGAGGGCTTTAAAGGAAATGCCTAGTTCCCCACCTCACTGGGCTGGGCTCAGCGGGCTTTTGGGGAGTTCCGGGAGGAGCTGCTGGGCTGGAGAGACACGGAGAAGGCCCAGCCCCTCCCAGCTAGTGCACTGCACTCCAGCCCAAAGTTGGGACCCCCCAAAACCCTGCTCCTCTTAGTTCCATCCCAAGATCTCCTGGGGATGAGGGTGATTTCCGTCTCTTTACCCTCGGGCTCAGGAGCTCTGTTTGAGCTGCGTATCATCTTGGGGTTTGAGCCCTAAGTTCAGAGAGGTTAAGGGACTTGCCCAAAGCTACCCAGCCAAGAGATGGAGAGCAGAGATCTGAACCCAGACTCCGATGCCAGAGGAATGAGATGCCACGTGATTCTGCTTTGCACCTAAGCTAGATGTCTGACGCACGGCAGCCTCCGGCACCCAGTGAGGGTTACTCGAAGACAGGGATGAGGGGAATGAATGAGTCGTACTTCCCTCGGCCCCCCAGTCCGAGGACTGGAGTCTGCAGCTGGTATGGGATGGGGAGGGATTCAACCCGGCTCCTCCAACGTCAGCTTCCCCACTCACGGCTGTTTCTCCAGGGGTAGGGCCGGGTCCACGCGCTCTGCGGGCTGGGGGCTCCTGGATGGGGGTCTCCGGAGGTCTTTGGCTGAACCTGCGGTCCTTTCCCACTCGGGACTGTCAAACTGCACTGGAGGGTTAGAGAGGAAAGGGTTAAGTCCAACCCACCTGGGAGGGGCGGGACCGGGGTAAGCCAATGCACTCTCAGCGGGAAGGCGGTGCCAACTTGGACAACCTATTAGAATCCAAGGTAGGAGGGGCTGGGTTTAAGGACTGGGCAGGATTGGTCCAGGAGCAGCCAGTCAGCCTTCAGAAGAAAGGGGTGTGGTCACTTCTAAGCGTGGTGGCTGGCGAGGGCGGGGCAGATCCACGAGGGACAAACCCCGGAGGGGGCTAGGGATGCGTTAGGGCTGGTCATTCTGCAGATTCTGCACATTCTGGCCAAGTCCTAGAGCTAGACACCCCCCACCCAAGGTAGGCCAGGTAGGGTGAGGCACTGAGCCCCAGTCTCCCTCCCAGTCATACCTGGGTTCGCACAAGTTATTTCATTTCTTAAAGCTGACCATATTGTTACCCTTTGACAAAAGAGGAAACCGAGGCCACAGACATGTCCCGTGCTTCCCCAACTCGGGACTTGACCCCAAGCCCGCCTAGCGATAGTTACTAAGAAATGCTACCCTGTTCCCCAGCAGCGCCCGTGGGAACACTTGCTGGCTCCCAGCATGTTCTGTAGCTGCTACGGCGATCCCCATTTGATGGGGGGGGGGGGGGGACCGATACTGAAAGATAAAGCACTTTGCCCAAGCAAGTGACACAAATCCAGGCCTCCCCTGACCCCAAAGCCTATCCCTGCACTACAATGAGCCCCACGGGTGCTTTGAAGGAGTTTCTGTTCTCGAGGAAGGTACAAGTTCTCCTAGGAAGAGGGCTGTGCCATTATCAGCCATTCACACTTTAGTGGGAATGAATAAACTGCCCCGGTGGCAGGTGATTGGGGGTCTATTTTGTTAGTTGACTCAGAGGATAGACCAGAGCAGGAAATGGACGTGGATATTCGGGGCCTGGGGAGGGTCAAGGCCTGGGTTGGAGAGGCACCTGCAAACGCCTTGGAGATGTGATCTTTCTTCCACTCCCAGGGCTGGTCATACTCATCCGCTGGCCGCTCGTCTTCCTGAGGCAGCCTGCTCTGGCGAGGTCTCCTTCCAGAAAGGGCTCCATCTCCTGGCTCTTGGTCTTGCTCCTCATAGGGAGTGTCGTACAGCTGCACCCCCTTGCACGGTAGTTCTGGGGGAGCCGAGAACACTGGTCAGCTCCCACACCCACCAGGGACCCCATACCCCTCTCCCAAGCTGCGCTCACTCACCGCTCACGGCCCGCTGGGCGTCGTAGGGCTCCATGTAGCCATCCTCTGAAGGTGGCAGGGGAGGCTGGGCATCAAAGGGGTCTGAGTACTCCGTGTCGAGCTCCAGCTGGAGAGAGAAGTAGAGAAGTAAGGGAGTGAGTGGCAAGGGCTACAGGGGGACCAAGCCCAGCCCTAGACACCCCCTCTGGGGTGATGGTGCACCTCTGGTTGGCTGACTCTTCCCCTCCACGAAGCTCATTGTCTCTGGGGTAGGGAGTCCTCTGCCCCACGCACCAGGTTTGCATTCAGATGCCAGCTTCCCATTTCTCCTCCTGCCACACAGCCCCAACTCCCTCCTTCAGTAATTTTAATGTCGGGACACCTGGGTGGCTCAGTTGGTTAGGCGTCTGCCTTTGACTCAGGTCATGATCCTGGGATCCTGGATCCTGGGTCCTGGGATCGTTCCCTGCTCGATGGGGACTCCCTGCTCAGTGGGGCCACTTCTCCCTCTCCGTCTCTCCCCCGCACCCCACTTGTGCGCGTGTGCTCTATCTCCAATAAAATAAATAGAATCTTAAAAAAAATAATAATTGTAATGTCTATCAGCTGCGAGCCATGTTCTAAATACTTCACATGTGTTTCCTCGTAATCCCAACATCCAGAAGTACATTAGCCCCATTTTACAGATCAGGAAACCAAGCCACAGAGAGGGTAAGTGACTTGCCAAGGGTCACACAGCTGGTAAATAAGAGGCAGGGTTTCATCCCAGGTGGTCTGCTTTCCGGAGTCCCTGCCTCCTCCTTCCTTCCTCTGGGCTCTTTTTTTTTTTTTTTTAAAGATTTTATTTATTATTTATTTGACAGAGATCACAAGTAGGCAGAGAGGCAGGAAGAGAGAGAGGAAGGGAAGCAGGCTCTCTGCTCAGCAGATCTGATCTCTGAAGTGGGGCTTGATCCGAGGACCCTGGGATCATGACCTGAGTCGAAGGCAGAGGCTTTAACCCACTGAGCCACCCAGGCACCCCTTCCTCTGGGCTCTTAATCACTGCCTGACACAGCCTTGTGTGACCTTCCTCAAATCATCTGTCTGTCTCCACCCCGAGGATTTGGGATCGACTCCCTGATTCTCTAGGAAAAATACTGGAAAAACATGGGCACTGGAGGCAGATCTGGGTCAAGTTCTAAGGAACTAGGGCCATTGACCTTGGGCCACTTGCTTCTCTTCAGTGAGCCTTGGTTTCCCCTTCTGTGAAATGGGAGTAGTAACAGAGGAGGGGCACAGTGCTGGGGGTTCCAGGGCTCACCAGGGCTGGACTCACTCAGATCTATTTGGGGAAGCTGAGGGAAGGGGACTAGGGAGTGGGGAGCAGGGAGCAGGAGGACAGGGGGACAAAGCAGGGCCAGAGAGATAGTAGGACAACCAGTGCTGACCCCTGGAAAGGGACAAAAATCAGATTCCACTAAGGAGGTGGGGGATTGGGGAGCCCCGGCCTGCCCCATAAAACAAGGTCCCCTAAATCCAGGAAACCCAGCCTGGCCTTCCCCACCCAGTCTCCTGGGGCCACCCAGCATCTGGGACTTAGCCACGCACCTCTTCCCCAGGGCTGCCCAGCAAGACCTTGGCTCTGGCCATGTCGGCGGCCTCCACTTTGATGAGCCGGTGCTTGGGAGAGTCGTACTTGGCGTCTCCGAGGCCCTTGGAGTCCCCGGGGCCGGCGGGGTCGGGCTCCAGGCGGCTGTCTGAGTCCTCATAGGGGTCCTCGAAGTCCAGATTCTTCTGCTCGCGGTAGGCCCTCAGGATGTCGCTCTCCGTGTAGTCCGGGGCCGGCGGCTGCGGAGGGGGTCTCCGACCGCCGAAGCCCAGGTAGTCCCGCAGCCACCTGGCCATCTGTGCGTGTGTCGCGCCAGACCTGGCCACTGTCAGAGGGAAACCCACATGCCCCCTTCCCGCACCCCTTTCTCCGCAGAGTCCCCAGGGAGAAGGGGTGCCAGGAGGAGGGGAAGGAGGAGGCGTGGGAGGAGGAAGGGATGGGGAGGAAAAATATCAGGTGTGTCCCTTGGCTGGGCTCAGAAGGCGGTGAAAAGAGAAAAGAAGGAGAAGGGGGGGTTAAGAAGAGGAAGAAGGAGAGCAAAAGTCCACCTTAGCCTGGCTCCGCAAGGACGGCGGGGGAAGGGGGCGCCCCGCAGGGCCCTGAGCGCCGAGCGCCGGGTGGTCGGGCCAGGGCGAGGGGCATCCGCGGAAGCGCGCGGAGTTTCCGCAGGAAGCGCGGTCCCTGTGCGCGGCTCGGCCGCCCGCCGCCTCCGGGAAGCTCCGGGATTCCCTTCTGCGGCCGGGAGTCGGGGAAAGCGCCGCCGGCGGGCGCCCCCAGCCCGGCTCAGCACGGACGTCTGGGTCCTCAGCGCCGCGGGCGGTTTCCCCCGGGGCGCGGGCGCCGCGCGCAAAGTTGGGCCGCGGGGACGGTGACCTCCGCGCGGCGCATCCTTTGTTGCGCTCCTCTCCGCTCCGGGGGGAGCCCGGGTCCCGCAGCCCCCGGCCCGGCCACCTCGATCCGGCCCCAGCCACCGGCACAAAGGGAAATAAAACCTCCTCCAATCCCCCTTCACGCTTTCGGAGAGACTTTCCCCACCGCGGCCGGGAGGTGGGACTTTGGGGAAGGGGCGCGCAGGCGGCCGCCCCAGCCCCTACCGGCCCCCGACCGCGTCCCGGGCAGCGACGTCAAGGTTTCCCCGCCTCCCCCTCCGCGGCTTCCCCCGCCCCCACCGGTCCCCCTGCGCCCCCCTCGGAGGTGACTGAGACCTTCAGCTGTTCTGGGAAGGGAGGGGAGCCTCTGCCCGCCGAGGGAAGGGGGTGCGGGGCGGGAGTCGCGGGGCCGAGGCCGCGGCAGCTGGACACTGACCCGGAGGACCGCGGCTGGCAGGAGCGAGCGAGGAGAGCGGGAGGTGGGAACCGACAGGGCTGACCTTGCTCAGGGGAGCGAGAGGTGCAGAGGCCGGGAGCCTCGGGGAGCAGCGGGGAGAGGGAGGCGAGGTGGAAATTGGCCGGGAAATGGGGGTCTGGATGTGACCGCAAGAGGGGGTAAAACTGACCAGCAGAGGGGGTGAGAGCGACCACTGTTGAGGGTTGAAATTGAACCAGTATCTGGCGGCGCAACTGACCAGCGGATTGTTCCAGAGGTCACTGGCTAAAATTGATATTGATGGAGCTGAAGGAAGCAGGGGGGAGTGGAAGGGAGAGGGTTCTCGCGTCCCCTCCCCAAGAGGACTCTTCTCTGCAAACCGCCCCCAACCCAGGGGACTGATTGCAGCATGGGGGAGGGGGGCTGGGGCAGCTGGCCTTGGGAAGGGAGATGGTATCTGTGCCTGGCGCGGGTCCTCAGCATCTGTCCCTTTGTGGCTTCTGGGGGTGGAGGCAGGGAGGGGGACAGAAATGAAAGGGGTCTCGCCTGGCCTGGCTGCCTGTTGGCAGCTGCAGCTGTCTGGGGGGCGAGGACAGTAAGAGATCTGGGATAAGGGAAGCAAAGGGGTATGCTGGCCAATTCCAGAGCAAACGGGTTTTCTTTCATTCTAAGGGGGCTTGCTCAGCTCCCCTTAATACTGAAGTAAGAGGCGGTGATCGGAAGAACGGGAAGATTCCCTTCTCCCAGTGCTCCGTCCCACCACCTCAGCCCCCAAGGTGGGCTGGTGCCGGAGGCTTGGAAGGGAGGGAAGCCAGAACAGAAGTCAGAGATGACACTGTTGGGAAAAGGCCCCTGGGGAGGAACAGTGAGTCGGGGCCATGTCTATGCCGTCTGTGCCTGGCTTTCCTGGTTTCTAGCAGGGGTTCTAACGGGAAATCCCCAGAGAGCTGAAGGAAGGACCGGCAGAAGGGAGTTACTTTTTCCCATGGGGAAACTGAGGCACCGAGGGGGGAGGACCTGCTCAGAGCCCCCCCACAGCTCAGGTCTGCCTGCACTGTGCGGCCCGGCGGGGGGGGGGGGAGGGGGCTGGCTGGGGTGGCTCTTGAGACCCTCTAGAGTGGCTTTGTGGGATCAGCATTTTTCCACCTCTGCCCCACGGTCAGCCCCACTTTCTAGGCGACAACGCTGAGGTCCAGAGCTGAGCAGGCAAAGTCCCTCATGGCAGCAGGGGCTTCCATATGTCCCCTTCCCGGCTTTGGCTGTGTCGCCCACATGAACCTGTTGAACTCAGTCCCCCTCCTGCAGCCCCTCCACCCGCCCACCCCAACCCAGCCCTCTTCGATCAGCGACAAGACAGTGTCCCTGGGGACTGCCGGGATCACGGCGGGTAATTGTCCTGTTTTCTGTCAGCCGCAAGGCAATTCCCGGCTCAGGGATGAGCTGTTGACAGATCTCATCAAATCTGAGCCCTCTCCCTGTCGGATAAATAGGAGACGTCTGAGGTATAAATATTTGAAAGGGGCCTTCTAATTACAGCGTGTGTCAGGAATAGCAATTAGAGGCCCCCGAGGCAGAATCAAACGGTGTTTGACTTTCCTGGCGTTTGACTTTCCTGCGCTTTTGAGCTCACTGCTCCTGGGGTGCCCCCCCTCTGCCGCAAAGGGGTTCCCGGAGGAGCAGCGAGGATGAGGAGGGGCTGGGGGCCTGGTGACCTTGCGGTGTGCCCTTGAAGAGCCACGGGAACTCCTGGGTTTCGGCGTGTTGATGGGCAGCGGAGGGGGGGCCCTTCATGGACAAAGGCGAGCAGGTGGGGTGGTCTAGGGGTCCTGGGCTGAGGCTTTCTCCCTCCCCATGCCCCCCATCCCGGGGTCTGAGAGGCCCTGTATCAGGGGCATCTCCTGGGTGCGGCCTTTTCTGGAATCCCAGCCCCCTGACCTTGGGTGGTGACGCAGCTCTCTGAGCTGGGAGGATAGCTAACCTCTGCTGAGTGCTTTTGGACACTGTTTGGAGCACCTTTTTTTTTTTTTTTTAATGCAATTCACATGCTCTATAATTTACGCGCTTAAAGTGTGCATTTCAGGTTGAGAACGTTCAAAAGATCATACGATCATCACCACTCATCTCAGAACATTCTCCTCACCCCAACGAGAAACCCCATCCCTATGGGGGGCTTCCGTTCTCTCCATTCTCCATTCTCCCCCCACTTCTCCCGCCCCTGACACCTCTAGTCCACTTTCTGTCCCTCCGGACAGGCCTGTCCTGGACCTCTCATGTAAGTGGAATCCCACACTATGTGGTTTTTTGTGGCTGGTTCATGAGAGCACTCACCGTTTCCAAGGTTCATCCTCGTGTGTGTGAGAGAGCTTCATTCCTTTTATGGCCCAATAATATCCTATGACGTGGCACACAGTAGGTGCTCAATATATGCTTTGGCTGGGTGGGACCTTGAGAAGGTTGGGATCCCTGGGTGGGGGCTGTGCCTGCCTTCTCTGTCCCCTCACTTTTGTCTCATGGAGCAGTCAGTCTTTAGCGGGGTTGGGAGTCAAGACACCAGGATAAGATGGGGCAGCTCACAGTGGGGCCTAAATACTCCTAATCTGATGGAGGAGACGTAGCCCTGCCCTAGGAGCTCCTACTCTGATAGGAGAGACAATCTCTGCCCTAAGAAGCTCCTAGACTACAGCGTTGCCTTTTAAAACCCACAGTCTGATGGGAGAGGCATGGTCTTGACTTCGGAAGCCTCAGTCTGTTGGAGGAGACAGGTGCATGCCTTAATAGGCTCCCAGTCTGATAGGGGAGGCATGATTCTACCCTCTGAGGCATTCAGTCTGATGGAGAAGGCATGGCTCTGATTTCAGGGGTTTCCTGTCTCTTGCGAGATACAGCCCTGCTTTTAGGGGCCCCTAGTCTAATGGAGGAGACAAGAGGCTATCCTTAGGAGACTCAGTTGGATGGGGCAGGCATGGTCACGCCTTCAAAGACACCTTGTCTGGTGGAGGAGACGTAGCTCTGTCGTCATGAGCGCCCAGTCTGAAGGGAGAGGCCCAGCCCCTGGAGGCTCTGTCTGCAGGAGTTGCAGGGGAGTGTGGTCATTAAAAGGTGTAGCCTCGGAGCCTTGCGGTGACAAGCCCAGGTCCCATCCCCTGCTCACTCTGAGTCCCTGGCCCAGGAGCTTCCCGCCTCTGTAAAACCAGGCAATAACAGGGCATGTGTCTGAGGGAGAGGCGGTTTTGGTGCAGAGGGAGCTTGGGGCAGAACCTGGCACGCAGCTGAGCTTGGGAAATGGAGCGGCGGCCCCTGTGTCCTTGTGCAGCCCAGGCTCAGGCCGAGTGCGCTCTAGCAGGGTAGCCCACCCCCACAAGTCCCAGTGCTGCGCAGCGGCCCCAGGGGGCACTGATGGAGGCGGCTCTGGATGAGGCTGACCGCTCCCCGGGATGAAGGACATGGAGTGCGGTGCGGGGAAAGGGGGCTGTCAGCAGCTATGGGGGAAGGGCAGGCTCTGGAGAGTGGGAGGGGGTGCAGGGGGCTGAGGGGAGAGCAGGTGAGTAGAGGCCCTGAGGCCCTGGCCCTGGAGGGTCTACACACACACACACACACACACACACACACACGACCCTGATGTGTCGCTAACCCTCTGCTTGCTCACTTGACCCCAGGAACCCCCACCAGGAACTTGGGGCCAAGGGCAGAAGGGTTCCCAGTTCATAGGGTGGGAGAAGGAAGCATAAAAGCCTGCTGGGAGATAAGACGAAGACAGGTCCAGTGAGTTCCACTTAGCTCCCACTGAGTGCCCAGATGGCGTCAGGTGCTGGGGTCACACTCGTCTACACAGCTACCCTCGTAAAGCTCACAATTGATGGGGGGCGAGGGAGGGGGGTGTGGTCTGGGAAGTAGACCCTCCACTGGCCTCCAATGACCCTCACCTCCCAGTGGCCAGAGCCACGTGTGATCCCCTCTCCTTGAATGTGGCCAGAACTGTGGCTTGCTTCCAACCAGGGGGACATGGCAAAGGTGAGGGGATGCCAATTCCCACAGACTCTTGTGCTGGCTTTATGGAGTCCGGCCATCAGGGGGCCATGTAGGCAAGCAGCCGAGGGCAGCCTTTGGCTCAGAGCCCGTGAGGAATGGCCAACAGCCCCACGAGCGAGCGTGGCAGCAGATCCAGCCCCGGACGGGCCTTCAGATGAGACCACAGCCCTGCCCCAGGTGAGGGCAAGAACCCAGCAGATCCGCCCCCAGGCTCCTGTGTTTGCCACTGCGCCCTTCTCAGGGATCTCCTTACACAGCAGTAGCTGATGGGGGGCAGCGCGGGGGACAAGACCCACCCCGTGATGTTGCCAACCCTCACCCCTGCTGTGTTCATCCAGAACCGTCACTGCCTCCAGTGTAATTTCACCTCTCTTCAGGGCTTACTGTTCTCTTTAGATGCGTTCACTATCTATCCCCCATCTTCCGAACATAACGTCACCATTAGGAGGGGGACTGCTGTTATTTTCTTTGGGGCATTATCATCATAGGTTTTCCTTCAGCGTTGTAGCCCCAGTCCCTAAAACACATCTGTGCACAAAGTAGGTGCTCAAAAAATTAATGAAATAAAAAATAAAAATGTGTAATAATAAAATAAGTCTAGATTACATAAAGTTATATTAATATTAAATTACATTATAAATTTCATGATATATATTAAATTACATACACATTTTAATATGTACTTTATAGATAAATGATACATGTGCATATATTTATTTGTTTTTTTGAGCGGGCAACTTGCTGTGGCAAACTCAGAGGAGGGCGTCTGCCCGAGCTCAGCAGGGGTCCAGCGAGGGGCAAGGACTTCCCCCATGTTAGCTGTTATTGCTAAGGGGATCCCGTGGACTGCATCCCGCAGCTGGCACCCGTTCTCAAGTGACCCCGGGCAGCAGAGCCGCGGGCATGGGGTGAGCCTGGAAATCGGGGTGAGGGCGGTGTCAGCACCTTCCCCTGAGGCTGTGGGGAGCAGAGCAGGAAGAGCAGAGCTGGGCGACCCAGACGGGGGCTGGCAACCCCTCTATCCGGGACCGGACGGTAAACCTGACCTGTTGGCTCTGCCGCCACGGAGCAAAGCAGCCATACCTCATACGCACACAAATGGGCATGCTGCTGTGCCAATAAAACTTTATTCACAAAAACGGGCCATGGGCCAGCTTTGGCCCGCCAATCATAGTTTGCTGATTGGGGTTTGAGAACAGGATCCACAATCTTCAGCAAAGAACAGGGACAGCTGGCACGCACACACGGCCACAAGGAGGGTGGCTTCAAGGGACGGGAGCTCAGGAAATGGGCTGCGGGGATGCATCAGAGTGAGCGGGCCCCACGCCTCCTCATCTCTCCCTCAAGTGCTTCCTGGGTTGGATGCTGGTCTGAACAGACCCACCCCGGGCACCTCGCGCGACGATGCTGACTTTGACTCTGGGGAAAGCGGGCTGGGCAGGCTGCGAAGCGCCCACAGCTGGCTCTCTGGCACGGGGCACTGAGCTGTGTACGGACTCCCACGGTGTAAATACTCCCACCACGGCCAAGGTGACCACAGAGAGGATGCTGCTGGGGGCCGAACTGGGGGGAGAGATGCACCGACCAGCAAGTCCAAGCCGGGGCCACCATCTGCATTCCAGAACTTGGGCCCCCCGGGGTCCTGTTTTCAGGGTGAGGTGGGGACCCGGGGCCTCCCAGCCATACCCGCCCAGAAGTCCTTGCAGGAATGCGGATCCCCAAAGTGGGGGCTTCTCGGATCCCCAAAGTGGGGGCTTCTCGCTTGGCTCGAGAAGCACAAAGCCGCATTCCCAGATGCCAAACAAATGTGAGTATGCGAGAGGGAGGGAGAGGAGGGCAGAGGCCTGCGACGCTGGGGGTGGGGGGCGGGAGAGCAGAGCTGGGGTCAGGAGCTGAAGGAGTCCGGTGGGAGCACAGGACCTTCAACCAGAACACTCTGGAGTGGGCGAGAACTATTCCAGAGCCGGAGTTGGGCAACCTTGAAACAACGCGAGCTCCGAATCGATTTCCCGTCACATGACCAGCGGCTGGACCGGCGATCTAGTGCTACATAACAAATCCCCCCCAGACGTCCACTGATCAATGGACCTTTACCGTCTCTCAGCTTCCCAGAGCCAAGAGGCCGGATTAGCCACGTTGTGAGGACCAGAGAGGCCTGCCGGGAGCCGGGAGCTCTCCCAGGGATGCCACGGCCCCAAACGGAGGGCCAGGAGGGCGGCAGTGTCAGCTGGGGTCCCCAAGGTCCGGCAGGTGGGGGGAGAGGACAGAAACCGAGTCCCTTGGTCGAAGCCCTTGCTGGCCCTGCCTGCCGCAGAGGACCTCTGGGTTCGTCCAGTCATGCGTGGCTCTGGCTGGTGCTCTGGACGCGGGACCTTGACCTGGGGAAGGGCCTGGGCTCTCAGTTGCTGCCACTGCTGTCCTCGCTGTCTGAGTAGGCCCCCAGCTGGCTCAGGGAGGAGGTGCCCGGCAACTGGGGTGCACGGTCAGCTGCTTTGCTGCTCCGCACGGGCCCTGGGCGAGAGAGGAGAGCTGGCGCACCTGGCCTCAACCCCGCGCCCCCCACCCACCACTCAGATGGTCCCGCCCACACCCCCAAACCCCAGAGGAGGGCCTGCTATCACCTGGTGGCCCCCTGAGGCACTGCGCTCCAGTCACAGGAGGGGGTGGGGGGTCGGGGGGTGCGCACCTACCCTGCGAGGTGGGCGAAGCCAGGCCCTGCCGGGTGCTGCAACCCAGGTCTGTTTTCTTCACCACGACTAGGCCCGACAGCTGGGGCCTGCTGTCAAGGGTGCCGACACTCCGTTCCCAGCTTTCCGCCTTCCTCTTGGCTTTTGGGGCCTGGGGGTGAGGGGGGACATGAGTGGGTGAACCGGCCCCAATCCCACCTTCTCCGGCCTCCCCGCACTTACACTTCCTGAATCACACCACGCCTTCTCCCCTCTGGGTCTTTATCCACGCCATTCCCTCCACCTGCAATGCCCCCCTTCCTCTAAGGCATCTGGTGAACTCCTACTCATCCTTCAATACCCCATCCAGGCATCAGCTCCTCTGAGAAACCTTTCTTTGCAGTTTAAGATCATGTGATCGAGCGAGTGCTGCATGTCCACACCCTCGGTGGCCTCCACTGCCTCGGGACGTAACCCCCTCACCCGTGCTGGGGGTTCCTGTCGTGTTCACAACTGGGTCCACGGTGCCACAGACAACTCTTGGCATGAAGGTGCTCTACCAATGTGTTTGATGGAGTGAGCGAAAATGGAGGCTCCCACTCTGGGGACTAGCGAGGGGAAGGTAGAGAGGGGCTCAGGCCCATCTCCATCCGGCTCTTCCACTGTATGGGCAGGGACCCCTTTTATCTGTTTTATGTTGAAACAGAGGAACCGGAATCCAGGGACCTCAGGAGGTCCTGTCTGAGCTGGAAGCTGGAGCTGCCGGGGGCACGAGGGACGGGGCGCTGCCTTCCGGGGGCCACCATCCGAGGGAGGAGGGAGGACAGACCAGTGAACAGATCGACAGGACGTCTGTCCTGACAGGTGGTGTGACACGAAGAAAGAATTCAGTGTGGTGTGACAGCTGACGGAACAGCGGCCGGTCGATAAGGCGGTCGGGCCAGGTCTCCTCAGAGAGGGGCTGTGCGCTGCCATCAGAATGAGGAGTTAACAAGCAGAGACGCAAGGGACCGCGCTCTGAGCGGTGGAGCGTGAGGCCAAGGCCTGGAGCGGGGACACCAGAGGGCTGGTTCGGCTGAAGCAGGGAGCGCGGGAGGGGGACTCTGCAGGCGCATGGCCGCATGTGGCCACCTGTGCACCGGCCGGAGCCCCTCGAGCGAGCGCGGACAGGGACAGATGTGGTCCAGTGGGTTACAGAGAGAGACCAGCCATTCCAGCTGCCGCTTTCTGAACTGACCCACGTGGCCCCCACAGCGGGCCAGCACTAGCCCTCGTGAGCCTCCTCCCCAAGCCTGCGTCGGCCCATGACACGCACTGCCACTAAGCAAAACCGTGGACACGGAAGCCACGGCGCGGAAGGGGATAGATGTCATGGCAAGGCTTTGGGAGGTCTCAATGGAACCGTGTGGTGCAAACAAGAAGTGTGTCCTCAAACTAGGTACAAGGAAGACGCCTGAAACAGATGTGTGGGGTGGGGGGGGACAGCAAAGGAACCCAGACTGCTCTCACGGTGGCTCCGATCTCCTCTTCCGCGTGAAAGAAGCAAAGAGGAAATTTTAGACAATTCTGGGGGCGGTTTATTTAAGAAAGACAGTGTGAGACCTGTCAGCAGGGGACAGCACCTCAAGGAAAATGTCCTGGTTGTGTCTGAGAGTAAGGGATGGGCATGCATGACCCCCAGGGCCATTCTCTCCCAGGACAGTCACGGAGCCTCTTTGGGAACATGGCTGCGCCCCTCCCCACAAAGACTACATTTCCCATCCTCCTTTGCAGCACGATGTGCTCAGGTGGCTGGGCTCTGACCAATGGCATGCGTGCCACTGCCAATGGGTTGTGTGGGATGGGAGCCCTGACCTTCCTCCTCCCTGACTGGGCCCTTGCCCCTGGCTAGGATGTGAGGGTGAAGCAGTGAGGGCAGCCCTCCGGCCGCCACCCCCAGGCCACTAGAACCGAGAGCAGGACGCTGCCTGGGCCCGATGCCATTCTGAGTGGCTGAGCACAACTTTTCAACAGACAAGTCACCTCCATGCAGTTGGAACAGCGTGACTGGGTCCCACCCAGCGGCTGAACCTGCGTCTGGCTGGCAGGGACCACGAACACGTGAGAGTGAAAATAAAACATGTCTGGGGTGACCGCTACTTGTCATTTCTCGCTTTAGTGCCCCATCTTCGATTAACACGCCAGTGTGGCCTTGACCGCCCTGGATGAGACGCTGTGCTGTAAAGTGCTAGCAGTCCCCCTGCCAGATGCTCCTCCCCGCTCCCTGCTGCCAGCCCAGGGCCAGCGAGAGGCCCCCAGGCCCCCTGCAACTCACTAGTCCCGCTGCTCTAGTACCTGGCGGGTACCCCTCCCAGCCCCACCCTGGCCAGAAGCCGCTCCCGGAGAGAGCAGACAGACAAGCTGCAAAGAGCCTGGGTCCCTGAGTGCTGGGAGCAGCACGGCCTGCAAGTCCTGGCGGTCACCCCCAGGGATGTTATGGGGACTGAGAAACACACATCCATGCTCCTAAGTCTCCAAGTCTGGGGTCTGCCCGTCTCAGCGGCTGAGCAGGGGCTGGCCCACTGCAGGCTCTGGAGACAAGGCTATCCTGGCTCGCAGCCGGGCCTGCTGACTCACAGTAGGTCTCTGGCCGTTGGTGCCAGGCCCAGCTCCCCCTCTCTGCTGCCCCCCAAAGCCCTCGGGGGGTGCAGGCACACTCACCTCCTCCAGGATGGCGGTGGGCCTGGGCCGGAGGGCCAGCCGCGGTGGGGCAGGAGCCGCTGCCTCCTCCTCCGAGTCAGAGTCCTCCAGCAGCCGGCGTCTGCGCGCCTCCTCCACCAGGGCCCTGTGGGATCGCCACCCCCAACAGGAGTGAGCATGGCAGCGAGGGGCCCCCAGACTCCCCACAATCCTCTCTGGCCACCCAGGGCAGTGCGGTTAAGTGCTGGCCCCGGCCCGCCTCGGCCGGAACCCCGGCTGGGAGCTCCCCACACGACAGTCCCCTTGACTGACGCTGTGACCAGGACCCCCCAGAGCCTGGCACTCTGAAGGTGCTCCACGAGGACGCCGCTCTCCCTGTGCGCCATTCACCGCCCACCCCCCTGGGAACGCAGAAGCCACACTGGGGCCCCGTTCAGATTCCGGAAGAGGGAGGCGGTGATGAGACGGAGACGGGGAAGCAGAGGGAAGGTTCCAGGGCAGGCAGGGCTGTACGGAAAGTGTGGACACAGCAGGCCCGGGCCTGAGGGACCCCACCCTGCCGAATCATCAAACCTGGGGGGTGATGCTGGTGACCCCGACACAGACCCCACGGGAGAGAAGGTGAGATGTGGGGGGAGCACGGGAAAGGCTCCTGCAGAAAGCCCCCTAAGGGAGCCACGGAAGACCCGGAAGGGCGCTGCAGGCAGAGGCCTGGGCAAAGGCTATGAGCGCCCGGGATGCCCCCACCCGCCAGGCGCACTCACGCTGTCTCCCGCTCGTCCTCCTCTTGTTCCTGCTTCTGCCGCTCGTCCTCCGACAGCCGGTGCTGCCGCAGCATGGCCTCGAAGTCCACGTGGGCCTGCCGCTGGTTCAGGTCCTTGAGCTCCTGCAGGTTCTCCAGAACCTCCATCTCCAGCTTCGAGTCCTTGGTCCGGTTCTCCAGCACCTGGTGGGCAGGACCCAGGCTCAGTGTACGGCTGCTGGGGCCGCAGGGGCGGGGGGGGGGGGGGACGGCACCTGCCAGGGGAGGAGCCCCCACGCTCACCCGCACCCATGGCGCCTGCGCGGGGGGCCTCCTGCCCCGTCCCCCGGCTGCACCCACTCCCCAGCTCAGAGCAGAAAGGCGTGGGGGCGGGGACTGGTCTGCTGAGGCCACACCGCCGGGTGTCCAGCCCAGCTACGACATGACACAAAAGTAAAAACTAAGAGGAGGGGCCTGGCTGGCTGTTAAGGGAACGTGTGACTTGATCTCTGGGCCAGGAGTTCGAACCCCACGCTGGGTGCGCAGCTTACTTAAAAATAGCAGTAACGAAGATTAAAAACGCATCTGAGCAACCACGACGCGCCGGGCCCCAGGCTGACACGTGGCCAAGCGTGAGCTAGTTCCACCCCTGCGACAACACCAGCCCAGGTCTCTGAGGCATGGGTGGGAAGCTGGCACCGGCCTCTTCAGGGCTGCTGGGACTGCGGCCAGAGGGAAGTGGCAGTCCCGGGGGTTTGAATATGTGTCCCCCAATTCTCTTGATATTTCTCCCCTGAAAAGGCGGAGCCTCATTCCCCTTCCCATGAGTGCGGGCTGGACTCCGGGCCCCGCTCCGAGCGAGTGGGGTGTGATGGGACAACAGCGTGTCCCTCCCTGCTCCTCTGGATCGCTGGCTCTGGGGAAGCTGGTGCTGCATCGTGCGGGGGTGCAGACGCCTCCGTGGCAAGGACGTGACCAGCTGAGCCTTCAGGAGATGTGGCCTCTGGAGAGACCCTGGACCCGAACCACTCAGCTCAGCTCCCTGGGCCTCCTGAGCCCCAGAAACTGGTGCAACAGAAATGTCTGTAAAGTTGCAGTTTTGGGGTAACTCGGGCCATAAGCCCCCGTGGTCGTGTGGGTGGACCAGGATGGACGTGACTGTGCAGGCCGTTGCGGGACACAGTCCCCTCAGCAGAGCCTGCGTCCCTCCCTGCCGCTCTGCTCACTGCGGGGAACCCCGCGTCAGGTCTGACGTACGGCTCAGAAAACAGCCAGGAGCGGCATGGGGGGCCCAGGGATGGGTGGGCTTTGCAGGGGTTGGGGAGGCCGGAAGGAACACAGATGTCATTCCATTTCCGAGAAAGATGACCAAACTGGCCAGCGGAAGAGGACGGTTTGTTTGAAGAGGGCCGGTCAGAGTTTCATCACGCAGGGATTCCTGCGTACGTGCTGGGCCCTGTCCCAAGAGTCTCCCATGTGCAAACTCATTTAAGCCCCACACGACCTCTGAGGCCGGTCATCAAAGCCATTTGATATACCAGGATTCTGAAGCCCAGAGAGGCCAAGTGCCTTGCCCAAGGTCACACAGCCAGGAAACATTCAAGAGAACGTTTCTTTCCACGCTTCTAGTCTTCACAGCCACCAGTCATGGGTGTCCTCTGTGCAAACTGGCGGGAGCCGGCCGCAGGAAGCACCTCGCCTTCTCAAGTCTGACTTCCTGCCCCTCGGATTCGTTCTCCCCGGCTGCATGACAGTTTGTCCCCAGCTCCACAGCTTAAAACCCAGGGATCTCGCTGTCCCCTGGCCGGTGTGGGTTCTGGGCCCAGGGCAGCGTGGCTGGGTTCTCCATCAAGGCTTCCGGAAGCGAAATCAGGGGCTGGGGTCTTGCCCGAGGCCTGGCCTGGCTCAGACTGCTGGCAGAGTCTTCTTCCCTCTGGCTGTGGGACTGAGGTCCCCGCGTTCTTGCTGGCTATTGACAGGGGGCCACATGGGCCCCTACTCTAGGCCGGCTCCTTCACACCGCCCACGTCCTCTAGACCCAGACGAAGGGCTCAGGTGAGAGGTCCGGCCTGCTGGACAGCCCCCCTCTCCCGAGGTCGACTATGACCCAATGTAACCACCTGATCACAGGTGTGAGGTTTCTGCACACGCACTCTGGGGGCTGCACAGGGGGTGTGGCCAGGGGGTGGGCTCCTGGGACCACTTTGGGGCTCTGCCGACCACACCTGCCCACCCCATCGCCCTGCCCGGGGCCCGAGGCAGGAAGTGGCACCAGCAGCAGGCACCGGCCTCACCTTCATGGGGTTGTTGAGCTCCTCGTCCTCCCGCTCCTTCTGTACCCTCTTCTCCTCCTCCTCCAGGAGCTTTTCCGCCTGGAAGTTCCGTGTGGCTCCGTGCTCCATGGTGTAGTCGGTGTTCTCGGGGTCCGTCTGCAAGAGAGGACAGGTAGATGTCAGTCCTACGGCCCTGGGCACAGGAGCTTCTGCTGGCCAACAGCCGGCCGCCTGGGCACCTCCTCTCCGTGCCTCACTCCTGCTCGTTCCCTTCCGGGTCTTTTTTTAAATTTGAAGATTTATTTACTTTAGAGAGAAAATAAGAGCGAGTGTGAGCCACAGGGCCGAGGAGGACGGAGAGAGCATCTCAAGCAACACCCCTCCCCGCCCCCGAGGGCCGAGCCCAACATGGAGCTTGACCCGGCGCTTGACCTCATGACGCTGAGATCAAGACCTGGTCTGAAACCAAGAGTTGGGACACTCAAACACTGCGCAACGTCCCCCGGCTGCCCCGCTTGTCTTGTCTCAATGCCTGGGTTGGACACTACTTTTTAGTGCCCCTGTCCTCTTTCCTAAAAACTTCAGACCCCTCTGCACCTGCCCGCTGCCTCCCTCCGACCTCTGCCTGACCGCGAATGCGAGTCTCTGGGCCTTTGCACGTGCCCCGTCTTCCTGTCTGCTGTGTGTGCGCACACGTGTTCACGGTTTCCCGTACTCATAAATCACATATCAGTACGTAGAGCGGGCTCCTACGCGCGTCTGGAATGCAGAGCGGAAACACAAGCTGGCATCCCAGATGAGACCCTGGAGCGCAGAGTCGGCATCAGGGGGAACATGGAAACCCACACGGTGTGTGGCTCGTGGCTAACGGCGACGTTCAGGGTCGGCTTCTCGCTGCGACAGAGACAGAGGCACTGCGGGTGCAGAGGATGTGGACAGGAGGGGAAGCGGGCGAGGGTCAGGTGGGACCCTCGGTGCCAGCCCCGCCGCCTCACCGTGGGTGGGCAAGTAGCCCCGATACAGAACACGTCACTAGAAGAGAAAGTGCGAGGACGACGGGGATCCCGTGTCCCGGAAACCGCACAAGCGCCTCTCGAGCGTTTGTTTCCAGGCTCGGGGCTGGCCGGGCGGCGGGAGCAGCAGGCGGACTTCCAGCGCCGGCCTCGCAGTTCTGAGTTCTGTGTCCGCCACGCGCAGGCGCAGGGACCCGTGACCCACACGTGCAGCCCCGGCCACTTAACCGCCCGAAGCTCTTCAGCGGGAGAGCCGATCCGTACCGTTTTACCAGAGCTCCTCTAGTCTTTAAAAATGCGTATATATTTGTAAATATCGTAAAATCGTAAATATCGTAGAAACACATACGTATCATTACCATTCAGGAAAAAGAGAGATCATTTTCTGGAAAGGACCCAAGTATCCATCCAGGGGACAGAGGGCAGCGTACAATGTGGTGTGTTCCCACGCGGGAACGTGACTGAGCGTGAGGCGGGAGGAGCCCCACCACACACCACGGTCGGGGGAACCCGAACCACACCAGGAAACGTGCACGAGGACAGGGCACAGGGCACCCTGCGTGAGAACCATCGTGACGGGCATGTCCGCAGGCAGAGAGCAGACGGAGGCTCCTGGGGGGGCCCAACGGGGACCGACTGCTAATGGTTACGGGGCTCATTTTGGGGGTGACAGAAATTCCCTGGAACTGGGCACAGGGTCAGCTTAGTCCTCTAAGCACCACTGAATCAGACACCGTACGTGGTATGTGAACCCCATCTCACTACAGATGTTTAAAAAAGTACTCCAAGGGGGCGCCTGGGGCCCTCAGGTCATGATTTCAGGGTCCTGGGATCGAGCCCCACATGAGGCTCCCTGCTCAGTGGAAGCCTGCTTCTCCCTCTCCCACTCCCCCTGCTTGTGTTCCCTCTCTCGCTGTGTCTCTGTCAAAAAAAAAAAGGGGGGACCCCAAATAGGGGCGCCCAGGGCGGGGAGTGGGGCACAGTCGGTTGAGCATCTGACTCCTGATTTCAGCTCAGGTCATGATCTCCACATGGTGAGATCGAGCCCCTCGCCAGGATCATGACCAGCAAGGGGTCTGCTTGAGATTTTCTCTCCTTCTGCCCCTCCCACCCCTCAGCTTGTGCATGTACTCACTCCCTCTCAAATACATAAATAAATCTCAAAAAAAAGTAAGCAAAATATGTCATTCTTACAATGTCCTTTTTTTTTTTTTTTACACCCAAAGGGAAAAGAGTTAGGTAAAAAAAAATTCCAATAGAACATAAGGTCCTCGGGCGCTCCCCAAAATTCTCAACACGGTCGTGACCATGACCGGCCATGCGCGTCACTATGGGGTCTGCTCCCTGAATCCCATGTCGTTGAACACCCTGGCCTTTGTACATGATGATGCGGGAAACAAGCCTGTCTCCTGGGGATGGGGTGACACGGGGGCTCCATGGAGGGAGAGGACGGGAGCAGGGAGCCCCCAGGGGAAGGACCCACCGGCGGGGCTGGTGTCTACCTTGAAGGTGATCTCTGCCAGGCACCGCGTGCACTTGATGTAGAAGCGGAAGATGGGCAGGCCCAGGTAGGCCTCATTCTGCACCGTCTCCTTGCGCGCATTGAACTTCTTGCCCTTGTAGATGTACTCTCCGCACGTCTTACACCTGCGGGGCAGGACAGAGGGACTCAAGCCACCCCAGCACCCTGGTTCCTCCTGGTGGCATTCTGGCAGGTGGCTGCTGGCATACCCCCCGGGACGAGGAGCTCCCTCCCTCCCTCCCGAGGCAGCCTGTCTCAGATTCCCCCAGCCTAGCATGCTCTTCCTAGTATGTGCCTGGCCCTTGGCCCCCGGGGCCCCTGCTGGGGAAGCACCCAGACGACCCAGACCTGCTGAGACACGCCTGTCACACACTCGCAGTGGCCTGGCTGGCGCTTGGGCGTATCTTGTTCCCCACAGCGTCCCCTGTGTTGCCAAGGCCCTGGCACACAGCAGGTGCCCAAAAGGATTGCTGAATTTTAAAAATAAGTGAATGAAGGAGAGAAATGGACCAGTGATATGCAAACGCACAGTGAGTTTCACAGAACGAGGGGTCTGATGACCAGGTGTTTGACTTCAACATGCTAAAAGGTGAAAAAAGCACGAGGCTCAGAATCTGTAAGACACAGTAATTGTGAAGCCGTACAAAGGCCAAGATCTGGGATGGTGAGGGAGAGGGAATTATGGAAGGGGTCAGACAGGGGGCCACAGGGGACTCGGGGAGTGAGGGTTTTTCTAAGATTTTATTAAAATAGTTTTTTAAAACATGTATTTTTAGAACTTGTTATTTTTTTTTTAAGATTTTATTTATTTATTTGACAGACAAAGATCACAAGTAGACAGAGAGGCAGGCAGAGAGAGAGAGGGAAGCAGGCTCCCCGCTGAGCAGAGAGCCCGATGCGGGACTCAATCCCAGGACCCTGAGATCATGACCTGAGCCGAAGGCAGCGGCTTAACCCACTGAGCCACCCAGGCGCCCCAGAACTTGTTATTTTTTTAAATTAATCTCTACATCTAACATGGGGCTTGAACTCACGACCCTGAGATCAAGAGGGCTGACCAGCTGAGCCAGCCAGGTGTCCCTGAGAGGGTGGGGTTTAAGCCAAGACCTGTGGGGTGAAGAGCCGGCCAGGTGAGAGCAGAAGGAATAATGATCCAGGCAGAAGGGACAGCCTGTGCAAAGGTCCTGGGGTATGAAGAAGTGTGCCTGCTGGAGGCGGGGAAAGAGTACACAGGGTCCCATCTCTGCACTCACACTTATAACCCACAATCAAGATCTCGAGGCGGACACTGGTTGGGGGCTCAGAGTCAGGGGTGTTAATCCTGATCTGGGAGGAAAGGGAGGGTCAGCACAGTCCTGCGTTCGCTGGGTCAATGTCTCAGTGCTGGGAATAAGCTACTCTCTGAGGATGTCAGGCACCAGGTGTGTCTGCCACGAATGATGTAGGGGACCACGTGAGGGGCCACATGGGGAGTCATACGGTGGGGGCACTCACCTCATGTTGAAGGGAGCCATCAGCCGCACCACGTACTGCCGATCCTTGGGGAGCTTGAGTTTGGGGATCTTTGACGGGTCAAAGTCGGGCGGGTAGTATTTCTGTGGGAAGTGAAAGTGTCAGAGGAGCTGTCCCGGGCACAGAAGCAGGCCAGGGCAGAGGGAGGAGCTCTGGGGAGCTTGCCCAGGTCCCCAGGACCACCCTGCGGCTCCTAGGACTCCGCATACACTCGTCCTTCTGGCTACCACTTACTATGGTGAAGGGACGCAGGGACACATCAGCAGAGGGAAAAGGTGTGTGGGAGCGGGTCCGGGAGACCAGGCACTTGCTTCCTGAGTCTGCTTCCCCGGAATCACACAGGACATGTTGACTACCCCAGCGAGGAGATGACCACACATGGGCGATGGCGTCTCCTGGAAGCTCACAGGGAGCCTGGGGCTCTCACCGCCTCGCAGCTTCCAACATTCTAGACCCGGAGGAGGCTGGTGCTCCGCATGATCCGTGTTGCTCACAGGGAGGGTGTCAGCCCTTGAACCATCCTGAGACTCCGTTTCCCGGGTGCCAGCCAAGGTCCCACCCGGCTAGCCAGCCGTTCCAAGGACTGCAGCCTCGGGCTGCCGTGCTAGCTGCCCCCACACAGGAGCCTGAGCGGGAGACGCGGAGGAGGCAGGTGTGGATCAGGGAACACAGCTCCGGGGATAATCCGAAAATAAAGCAGTCCGTGTGCTGAGCACCCGCGCGGGGCACTTCATAGTTCTTGCCTCACAGAACCCTTGCAGAGCCTCGTGGAGGCAGAGGGACGGCCCCCCATCACAGAGGGTAAACTGAGCGCCGGCGCGGACACGGCTCTGGGGGGGTGCAGCGAGGTCCGGGGGTCGGGAGCCCAGGTTACAGGGCCAGGGGCCTGGGTTCGAGTCCTCCACTCCCCGGCTATCCCCCGCCTCCGGGGCCTCAGCGGGCCCGTCCGCTCGCAGGCTGGGATGAGCAGGGGCCGGCGCGGCAGCCCCGGGAACCGACCGGGAGAGCCAGCTGCCGGCTGGGTCGCCAGGGCCCGAGAACTCCCGCGGACACAGAATCCAGCACCTGCCCCGGGCTGTGAGGACGCCCGCGCCGGTCCCCTAACCCGAGTGCGGGAGAGACGAGAGCGCGGAGCCGCGGGAGCCGCACCGGCCCGGCCGCTCACACCTGGGCCCCTGGCCCGGCACGCGGGGCTTACACACTCCCACAACGGGGCGCTCACTCCCCGACGCGGAGCACACACGCCCCCGGGGGCCGCGCGCAGGGACTCGGAGCTCGGGGGCCGCATGCCGCCTTCCGAGCCCCACCGGACTCCCAACAGAGTCGTGAACAGCCGAGGCGGCCGGGAGGGGGCGCCCCTGCCAGCCGAGCCGAAGAGCTGAGCCGAAGCCCCGCAAGAAACGCGACGCCCGGGACCCTGGAGGCGGGGCCTCAGGCGCCTGGAGGAGGAGCGAACGGCAATACGGCCGGGGCGGACCCACCTCCCCCAAGGGACGTGACTGGCTAGCTCCCTCCGGCACACCCAATCAGGCGAAGCGCTGGGGCAAACATATTCAGCTCCGCCCCGAAAGGACGCAAGGGCCCACCCCTCAGGGAAGGTGATTGGGAGGTGTCTGAAAGCCCCGCCCCGCCGAAGACCGTTGGCGAAGAGAAAAAGGTTCCAATAGGAGAGCACAGGGAAACCCACCTAGGCCCGAGCTCCGAGGAGTCCCGCCCCGGATAGAAAGCCTAGTCACAAAGTACTTACGTTTAAAACTTTTCGCTCCGACATCTTTGCCCCCTACTTGTCTCTCAAGCACGCGAAGAACGCTTAAGCTCGGTGTTCTCCGAACTTCTCTGACCGTCCCTTGTATTTCCGCTATCGTCACTTCCTCCGCTCTATTATTGGTAGGAGCATAGCACGCCCCCTTTCATTGGGTCTGATCCCTGCCTGTCAAGATCCGAATCAGGCTACCTTCCCTTCGGATCTGCACCATCGCGAGTTTGCTACAAAGGTTCCGGGGATCGGCTGATTTGAAGATCGGGGGAGGTCCTGCGCCCCCTAGAGGTGAGCAGCCGCTCACAAAAATTCCATCGTGGCGCGTCGTGGCCGCCGCTCGCGACGTTCCCTGTTCTTTACTCCTTTCTGGAGCGAACACGGCGGCTGTCATTGAGTGTTTACTCTGTGTGCTGGGCTGCATGTTCCTGTGTCCCTAGCGTGCACCCGGGGCCGGGGACAGCTCCCACGGACTACGCATGTCCACAGAGGAGCAGCCTGGACGCCCTCCCGCACGTTTACCTGGAGTCCGGGGCAGAGACTCATACACCAGCTCCCGCCCCCACCTCCCCTGCGTGTGCACGCATCAGCTCCCGCCACCTCCCCTGCGTATGCACGCGCTAGCTCCCTCATCCACCTCCCCTGCACATGCACCCCAGCTCCCACACCCACCTGCCCTGCACGTGCACCCCAGCTCCCACACCCACCCGTCCTGCACGTGCACGCACCAGCTCCAGCACCCACCCGCCCTGCACGTGCAACAGAGCAGTGTTGGGACAGTGGGCATCCAAGATGGTGTGTGAGCTTCCCCGTGGCTGTTGGAAGGTTACCGCCAGCTCGCAGGTCCTAAAACCACACAAGTTTATTATGCTGTGGTTTGGAGGTCAGGAGTGTAAAGTTGGGGCATTTGGGTGGCTCAGTGGCTTAGGCGTGGGAATGGATCTCAGCTCAGATCATGATCTCAGGGTTCTGAGATCCAGCCCTGCGTTAGCGTGGAGGCTGCTTGAGATCTCCCTCTCCCTCTGTCCTTCCCCTTTTGTGTGTTTTTTCTCTCCGGGCTGGAGCGGAGAGAAGTCTAGGGTGGAAGGGAGGGGGCTCCAGGGCGGAATCTGTTTCCTTGACCTTCCCGACTTCCAGGGTCCGCCCACAGGCCACGAACTGCCCACGGATTTTTCTCCAGCCTTCAGTCCTGGTGTCTTTCCTCAACCCCTGCCCCCTGCCACCCCTCCCCCAGCAAGAGAAATCGTCCCAAGCTCATGTCCTATTTGCCTCCACCCAGGCAGCTTTTTAGGAGGTAGGTGAACTCAACTGCTAAACTCACCCCTTCCCAGGCAGAGCCCTGCCCCCAGCCCCAGGACTCCTCCAGCCCCAGGCTCTGCCTCTGGTCCAGTCCTGACCCCATCCATGGGAGTGGGGATTCACTGTGTGTGTCTTACTTCATCCTGGTCTCATCTGGGTCTACTGAAAAGAGGAGGGTCAGCAGGTTAGGCATCTGCCTTTGGCTCAGGTCATGATCCCAGGGTCCTGGGATCCATCGTGCTCCCTGCTCAGTAAGGAGCCTGCTTTTCCCTCTGCCCCCCGCCCCCACTGGAGCTCACTCTCTCAAATAAATAAATAAAATTTTTTTAATTTTTAAAAAAGATTTTATTTATTTATTTGACAGAGAAAGGGACAGCGAGAGAGGGAGCACAAAGCAGGGGGAGTGGGAGAGGGAGAAGTAGGCTTCCCGCCGAGCAGGGAGCCTGATGCAGGGGCTCAATGCCAGGACCCCGGGATCATGACCTGAGCCAAAGGCAGACGCTTAACAACTGAGCCACCCAGGCACCCCAATAATAAAATCTTTTTAAGAAATGAAAGGGAGGAGTCCTGACTCCAGCAACAATCTTTTTTTAGTTAAACAATAAAAAGCATCTCAGGTTCACAGTTCACAGGGCCTTGCACTGCGGTCTAAGGAAGAAGTACATCCCCATTGCACAGATTGACAAACTGAGGCTCAGAAAGGCGAAGTCATTTGTTAAAAGTTGCCCAGCAACTCGGCAGTAGCAAACCCAGGCCGGTTGGGTCCCATCCGTCCTTGAGTGGGTGGCAGTGGGGGCGGATGTCAAGGACCCAGCCCCTCTTCTGGGCGGGGTGGGGGCTGGCAAGCCCCACTATTTGCCCATGGGCTTGGAGGCAGCAGCAGGGAGACTCCAGTCACTCATTTCCCCATAGTCGGTAAGGTCCTGAGCAGCCACCTGGATGCAGTACCTGGCTTGGGGTCTCACAACCCTAAGGGTGAAGGATGTGGCTTCAATAGGCCCTACCTGAGAGCAGAAAAGAGGGGCCAGGTCAGTGGGAACGAGGAGACGGGAGCTCTGGACCCCCTGCTCCATCTTAACAAGCTGCCAGCACGGCCCATTCCACATCGTCGGTCCTTCCTGGTCCTCACCGCCCCCCACCGAGCCACCCATTTCAGGACACCTCTGTGGACCACAGAGACCCCCATCCCCAACACCCCCCTCCTCCTCCTCAGGCCCCGGCCACATCCTCTGCGATCAGCCTCCCTCCCCCTGCCCCGCTGTAGTAAACTTGTTTTTAAGTCTTCGGCATACTCCATTCTGCTTCTGCCGCATCTTGGTGACCAGGGGACACTGCCCCTTCCAGGGCTGACGATTCTTATAGATCGCCTACCGGCCAGGAGCATGGCTCTCATGTACACATTAGCCCATCAGACTCACAGCCCCCTTCCTCTAGCTCCCACACAATCCAGCAGACCCCCTGCCCTAAAGCCTCCTGGGGCCAGGTGCAGCCCAGAGGCAGCGGGAAGGCTTCAAATTTGCCACCCCCCAGCGAGCGGTTCACCCCACCCCTGCCTTGCCTTCGCACCTACCCCACTACTGACGCTGGGCTCTCTCGCCTGACTCCTGTTTCTTCTGATGTCCCAGCGCCTCCCCAACATCCTGTCCCCAGATCTGACTGTCTCCCGACCTGCTCTGCCCTGGGTCATCCCACGGCAGCTGGATGTGGTGGTTTACGCTGTCCATTTAGATTAAACGATTGCATAACTTTGCGAAGACGCTCCAAGCCACTGCCTTGTACACTTTTCATGAATTTTACGTCATGTGAATTCTGTCTCCATCTAAACATTGTAAACACTAGGGGCACCTGGGTGGCTCAGTCATTTAAGGGTCTGACTCTTGGTTTGGGCTAAGGTCATGATCTTAGGGTGGCGCTAGGTAGGTCTATAACGCCAAGGGCTCCCTCTTCAGGGCTCAGTGGGGGGGTCCGCTGGAGACTCTCTTTCCCTCTGCCCCTCCCCCAGCACACGCTCTCTCCCCCTAAAATAAAAAAAATAAATCTCTTTTAAAAAAAATCACGGGGCGCCTGGGTGGCTCAGTGGGTTAAAGCCTCTGCCTTCGGCTCAGGTCATGATCCCAGGGTCCTGGGATTGAGCCCCACGTCGGGCTCTCTTCCTCGGGGAGCCTGCTTCCTCCTCTCTCTCTCTCTGCCTGCCTCTCTGCCTACTTGTGATCTCTGTCTGTCAAATAAATAAATAAAATCTTAAAAAAAAAAACAACACCCCCGGGGTGCCTGTGTGGCTTAGTGGGGTGGGCCTCAGGTCGTGATCTCAGGGTCCTGGGATCAAGCCTCACATCGGGCTCTCTGCCCAGCAGGGAGCCTGCTTCCCTTCCTCTCTCTCTGCCTGCTTCTCTGCCTACTTGTGATCTCTCTCTGTCAAATAAATAGATGGGATCTTTAAAAGTAAATAAATAAATAAATAAATAAAATTTAAAAAATAAAATCACCCCCATTCTCACCATTTAAAAAATTGCAAAAAAAAAAAAAATAGGGGAGCCCGGCTGGCTCAGCTGGGAGAATGTGTGACTTTTTGGTGTTGTTTATTTGAGAGAAAGCGGGCACGTGCAGGAGAGGAAGGCGGGGAGGGGCAGAGGGAGAGGGAGAGAAAATCTTAAGCCAACTCTGAGCATGGAGCCTGATGTGGGGCTCGATCTCACCGCCCTGAGATCACGACCTGAGCCAAAACCAAGAGTCAGATGCTTGCCTGACAGTGACCGCCAGGTGCCGGGAGCACGTGACTCTTGATCTTGGGGTTGTGAGTGTGAGGCCCATGTTGCACCTCAGGATTACTTAAAAATAAAATCTTTAATAAGATACCATCAAATAAAATTTTATATGTATAAAAATAAAATTGCAAAAATATTTAAAAGTAAACGAAGGCACACTTGATCAAACGTAAAAGCCGGCTCCTTGGCTGCCTGCCACATTGTCCTTGCTCAGCAAGGACCAATTTTAGTCCATAGGACATTTCTATCGTCCCATAAAGTCCCGTGGGACAGGCTGCAGAAGCCTACGCCCTCCAAGCCCGCAGCTCCGGGTCCGCATCTGCAGAGCTCACCAGAGGTGCTGAGCACTACCCTTGCCCTATGTATCTTTTCTCTTGTAAAAATTTAAACAATGTATTTATTTTCAGTCAAGGTGAAATTGACATGACATAAAACTGGCCAATAAAAAAGGAGAATCTGGGGCATTGAGTATATTCGTAATGTTGTGCAATCATCACCTCCCTCTAGTTCCAGAACATTCCATCACCCCAAAAGGAAGTCACGTCCCCATCTGCTGTCTCTCTCCACCTCCTCCCCAGCCCCTGGCAGCCAGAACCCCCTTCCTGTCCGGGGATGTGCCTGTTCTGGATGTTTCCTATAAATGGAATCAATGAACACACTCTGTGTGGCTTTCTGTGTCTGGTTCCCTCCCTGAGCACCGTGGGCTCGGGGTCTGTCCCTGGGCATCTCCTGTCCGCGCCTCGCCCCTGGTCCCTTCAAGTGACGAGCCCGCGCGTGGGTGGATACATGTGTTTTTCTACTCTTCTGTTGACAGACATTTGGGCACTTTCTGCCTTTCGGCTGCTGTGAATGGAGCTGCTGTGAACACGGGTGTATAAGCATTTGTTTAAGCTCCCATCTGCTGTCCTTTTGGGTGGACAGCCGGGAGTCCCAGCTCTGGGCTGCCTGTGAGTTGGCCATGGCTGCATTTGAGGTCACAGTGCACCTCTGCACGCGCTGTCCCCTCTCCCCAGGACGCCCTCCCACCACCTCCCCTCGCCCTCCTCACCTGGCGGAAGCGGGGCGACCCGTGATGCTTATATCGGATTCTGTACTTGAGTGCGAAGATCTCCGGGAAGGGCCAGGACCGGGGGGGTTCCCACTGCACCCACAGCCGCTGCCCGGGGAGGGGGCTCAGGCGGACGCCTTCTGGAGGGTCTGGTTTAACTGATGGATAAGCAGGACGCAAGGTCAGGGCTGGTAGGCTTGCTCCTTTGTCCAATCAACTAACGTGTATTTATTGTCCACTGAGTGTCCAGTGGTGTCCTGGATGCTGGGGACACGGCAGTGACCCACGCACACCCCACCCCATCCTCTTGGCGCTCAGTGCATCAGGGCAAAAGATAAGAAACATGCAGCAAATACATGGGTCATCAAGCGCACAAAGATCGAGAGGGCAAGAAGAGTGGCTTCAGTGTTTTGAGAGGTAATTCACATACTGCAAAACTCACCTTGTCAAAACGTACAGTGCAGCAGTTGTGGGACATTCAGAGTTGTGCAACCTCACCTCTATTTAACTCTAGAACATTCCATCACCCCAAAAAGAAGCCCCACCCCATCAGCCATCACCCCCATCCCTGTCCCCAGCCCCCATGAGCCCCCTTCCCATCCATGGAGGAGCTTGTTCTGGACGTATCACACCCGTGGACACACACCCCGTGTGTCCTTCTGTGTCTGGTTCTCTCCCTGAGCGTCGTGGGCTTGGGGTCCACTTCCGGGGGCAGCATGTGGGGGCGCCTCTCTCCTGTTCATGACCAAATGTTCCATAATATGGACGGAGCCTGTTTCGGGCACCCATTCATCTGCTGATGAACCCTTGTGTTGTTTCTGCTTTTGGTCTGTTATGGATTATGTTGCCGTGAACATTAGCAAACAAGTTTCTGAGTACACATAATTTCACTTCTCTGGGGTATACAGCTAGAATTGGAATTGCTGGCTTATATGATTACGTATGTTTAAGTCTCTGAGGAACTACTAGACATTCTTAATATGAGGCATATATCAGCAACATATGAGGGTCTGCAGTCTTTAATAAGGTGTTCGCGGGAGGGCTCACTGAGATGACCTCTGAGTTGATGTGAAGGAGGTGAGGGAGTGAACTGTGTGGAGGTCTGGGAGAGCGTTCCAGGAAGAGGGCACAGCCTGTGCAAAGGTCCTGGGGCAGGACCTGCCTGGTGTGTTGGAGGAACAGAGGAAGCATATGTAGCTGGATCAGGTGAGGGAGGAAGACAGAGGGAGGAGGGGAGGCCAGGGAGGAGATGAGGCAAGTCGTGCAAAGCTTTGGGGCACTTGGGGAGGACTTGGGCTTTTGCCCCAGGTAGGTGGGAGCTATGAAGGGCTGAGGAGGGAGGAGGGTGGGACACGACTTGGGTGCTCGTGGGTGCACTCTGGTGGCCACTGTTGGGAGGGCGGATAGTGGGGGCGAGGACAGGACTGGGGAGGGATTGAGCTGCTCCAAGTGAGGATGGAGGCTGGGCATGGTGGTGGGAGGCTCAGTGTGGGGAGAAGTGGGCACCCTCTTGGAGAAACGCAAAGGTGGAGCCAAACGACCCAGCATGGATGCACAGGGGTGAGTGGTGAGAGCTGGGAGGGGCAGGAGCAAGAGCCCCCCCGCCCCCCGCCCCCCGCCCAGGCTGCTGTCCGCACTCACTGATACGCTCTGGAACAAAGGGCACAAAGCTGCTGCTGGGCCAGGGCTGAACCGCCGTGACGTTGAGTATATACGGCACCGTGGAGAACATCTGGACGTCCGGGATGATGCAGCTGGTGGCCTCAGGGGTCGGCTGGAGGCAGGGCCTGCTCTCCCCGTGGGCAGCCACGCCAAGCCTGGACACACAGAGGCAGCGTGAGGGCCTCAGCGTTTCCCGTGGGCTGGCCCGTGTCTTGGACCCATGTGGACGGCACTCAAGGACCACAGGCTGGGATCCTGCTGTTGGCTGTATGACCTCAAGGGAGCCTTCACCCCAACATCAGGGCCCTGTGCAGACCCAGGGTCAGGGGAATGTCCCACACGGAGACGCTAGCGTCCAGATACTACAGGTTTCTAGAACGTCAACATTCCAGCCTTAGAATTCCAACATTCCTAGGTCCACGGACTCACAGATTCTGAAATAATAAGATACTTACTGTCGTGAGTTTGGACACCCCGAGATCTCAGACTCTAGAGAAAGCTCAGTGCTGCACAAACAGCCTTCCAGAACATTCCACGTGCTCTGACTGCTGGGTTGGAGGCAGTAGTCCCTGGCCACAAGTGGCTGTCTGCCTTTCAAAGTGTGGCTGGTGCAACCAAGTGTGGCTTTCGATTTATTTTATCAACACTCAAGATCCAGTTCCTGGCGGTCAGAATACGTGGCAGAGTTGGACTGGACCACCCAGGTGGGTGACTCTTCCTTCCCACCCACAGATTTTATAAAATCTAATCAGAGACCAAGAATTCCCAGTGAACATTTAGCACGTGAGTTGAAAGGTGCTTTGTGTGTGAAAGGCACATGGAGTTTCAGACTTAGTAACGAGAGAACGTAAAATACTCATTTCACATGTTGATTACGTGTTGACATGATCCTGCTTTAATCCCACTGCACGATATTATTTCTATTATGAATTGAAACATGTAAACTGCCCATAAGCGTGTTAAGCTACATTCGATCTTATTAAACAAATATTTGGAATGCTGAGAAGCAAAATGTTAAAAGTAACGTCACTTCTCTTTCCTTTTCAAACGCGGCTTCTGGAAGGGTTTGAACTCTGCATGTGACCCGTATTTTAGGAAGTGTATCTCTGTGGGCCTGTGCTGCTCCGGCATCCTGAAGGGTGCTCGCTAGGCCTCCCGCTGTCCCGGCCCCAGCATCAGACCTCCCGGGCTCTCTGACCTGTACGTGGCAATGAAGGACGCGGGCGTGGCGGAGTGCGGAGCGGGCGGCAGGGTCCAGGAGCAATCCACAGCCACTGGGTACCTAGAGGCCCGGCACCTCACCCTGGGCTGGGCGGGGGCTGCTGGGGCCGTGAAGAGGGAGGGTGCATCGTGAGCTTCCAACCAGCCCCAGGAATGTCCCAGCCCTGGGCAGACCAGCCCCAGCCTCCCTGCCAGCCAGAGGCACTGGGCACACAGTAGGCGCCTAATAAAAGTTTGTGCAGTAAATGAATATGTAAATGGAAGGCAGCTGCCTCATCTCTGGCCTCCACTACAACCTGCAAAGGTGGAGGGTAGCAGCCTATTTTCCAGATGGGGAAACTGAGGTTTAAGGAGCCACACGGGGGTGGGGGGTGACCTGGGTGTCTGGGAGCCCCGGTGGGAGGGAGCCGTCTCCATGCAGCCTCTCTTCCTAGCAGCTTTGTTTAGAAGCACATGGAATGAATGCATGTAATTAAAATGTCTCAGTCTCTCCCTCCTTCTCTCTTTCCCTCTCCCTCTGTCCATGCTGTGGCTGCCACTTCCTGGTGTCACTTAGCAGTGGGACTGGTCCTCTGTGTCTCAGTTTCCCCATCTGTGCAATGGGATGGTAACCCCCTCCCACCCGTGGGTTATCCAACAGGTGTGTGAGCTCCCACCCCAGCCCAGAATATTCCATGGTAGACAGTCCAACTCCAGTCCCCAGGCAGCGTCCCTCAACGCCAGCCTCCCCGGGCCCCGGAGCGTCCCACGTACCTTCTCTCCCACTGCAGGATAAGCTGCCCACCCAGAGGGCGAGCACCAGGAGAAATCTTGAGACCATGAGTCCACGGGCTCTGCTGTCAGGAGCTGGGGCAGGGAGCACCTCGGGGAGCCAGGGGACTCAGGTCCCACCCGAGGGGGAAGCACAGCCCCCGGTCAAAACCTCCACTTCCCCTTGCCCGTGTCTGACTCCCTGGCCGGTTTGTGCAGCTGGTGGAGAGCTGAGCGGGGCGGCCAAGGAGCCCTGGTCCCTTCACCTGTCGCGGCTGGGCGCGGGGTTCTGGAGGCCCTGGGTACAGGGGTGGGAGAGGAGGCCTCGAAAGAGAGAAGTGGAGCCCCCGTGGCCTTTCCCACAACAGTCTGACTGTAAGTCCTTCCTTCCGGCTGCAGCAAGGACAAGGACGGGGAAACCCCGGAGGGGGAAGAGGACAGGGAGAAGGATGAGAAAGGCCAGTGCGGGTAGAGACACAAAGACACAGAGACACAGAGAAATGGAGACAGAGACAGAGACAGGAGCCCGGGAGCCAGCAGCAGAAACAGAAGAGAGACAAAGAGACAGAGAGACACAGTTTGAAGAGAGACGCAGGCAGGACACAAAAATCACCCCTTTACTCACCGCCCGGCCGCAGGGGTAGAGACCCACCCTGGCCAGCTCTCCACACTCCAGGCCACAGAGACAGAGACATACAAGGCCCTGGGGAAGCAGCCCCACCCGTGGGACCCTCTCTGAGCCACAGGGACGCCAAGCGACAGGCTGAGCCCCTCCAGATGCCGTGCCTTCCCTGGACACTCAAGGAAACCCCGGGGAAGGGCCACATTCCTACCTCCCCCACCCCAGCTGGAAAGAGCCAAGCAGCCCCAGGGGATTTCAAGGGACTTGCCCAAGGGCAGGGAGGCTGGGGGTGGGAGACTCCCCGCAGGGCTGGATTTAGGGCGAGGAAAGTGACTCAGGGCGCACAGGCTAGGATGCCGTCTTCCCTTAACAATCGGACAGTTTGCTTATCACGGACTTCTGGTCGCCCGTTCTGACTTGCTACGACAGGAACATAGCCCTCATTCTCGGGCCTGAGCTGTGGATGTACGAGATGGGGGCCTCTCCTGCGAGTCCTGCTCTACGCCATCCCCGTCCTCCTCCCTGCCCCGGGGGTGGGGGCCCAGCGATCAGACCATACACGTTCGTCCTCCACTCTGAGAACTTTTATTCCTGGGGTCCGGGGTGCTGCCTGGCTACAGGACGGACAGGACGGGACGTGGGAGCAGGGGCTCGCGGGTTCTCCGGCCGGGGGCGGGGGGCATAGTCAGGGCTGGAGTCAACCCCGGCCAGTGCACTCAGGGACCAATGGGGCAGTGGACGCAGCCAAGTACAGTGGAGCAGGCCCAGGGGGTGTCTGGGCTTGGAACGTGAGCGCAGGGGCCCAGACACCCCGCGCAGGAATTGGGCGAGCAGCACGCGGTGCTCATCGGCCCTGAGCTTGGAGCCTTTGCATCTGTAGGATCTGGTTCAGGATCCTCTGCACATCTTCATCCATCTGACCCTGGGGTGGGGGAAGCAGAGAGAGAGAGAGAGAGAGAGAGGGAATGCCTGGGCACTCCTGTTCTGGCTTCCCTATTCCCTCCCTCCCCACCCCTACAAGGCCATGAACCCCCTCACCCCCCACACCACCAGCCCCCCACCGTACAGACGGGAGGACAGGCCCGAGTACCGGTGGCCTGGCATGACTCACCTGAATGGCATACAGGAGGTGGCTCCTGTACAAGGCCACCACTGTGCTGTGGTCCCTGGCAGCCTCCTGTGGGCATGGGGGAGGGGTACTTGGAAAAACAGGCTCCCCCCCAAAACATGCCCAAAGCTCCCCCTTTGCACCCAGAGTCCATGCGCCAGTGCAACAGCTGTTAACATACAGAACCACTTTCCTCCCCCCGCCTGTGACCTCACCTTCAGCTGCTCCTGCAAGGCCTTGACCTGGCCTCGGAGGGCCTCCACCTCGGGGGTGCCCGGGGCCCCCAGCTGGTTCTTCAGGGCCTCCTTAAGACTGAAGACTTCCTTGGAGAGCTCTGTGATCTGGTGGGGGGAGATGAGGGGGCCTCCAGTCACCCCGAACCTGGGGCGGGGGCGTCGGACCTGTCCAGCACCTCCCTCGGGAGGAGGCTGGCAAGGGGAGGTCAGAGCGTAGAGGCCGGCAAACTCTTGGTCCTTGGGAGTCTGGCCCGTGAGCTAAGAATGGCTTTCACGTTTGTAAGTGATAGGGGGAGAATGTCAAAAGAAAAGTGTTTCGTGACGTAGGACAATCAAATCACATCCACATTTCCGAGCACGCACATGAAATTTCACAGGTGTGCTGCCGCGCCCATTCACGGACACGCCAGAGCCGAGAACACGGGCTCTGGCTCTTTCCAGAAGTCGGCCGATCCTGTCACAGCCCCTCTTGCGGGCTCTGGGAAGGGGAGGCTGACGGAACAGAGGCCCACAGCAGCCTGGCCTGGTGGGGCTGGGTCGGGTTGCCCTGGGTTTGGGTCCTTCCCTGCCCCTCTCTTGCAGGGGATCTTGGGGAGACGATTTAACCCCTCTGAGCCTCAGTTTCCTTATCTGAAAAGGAAGGGGAATCACGGTTCTCACCTTGGCAGGTTACTGTAATTCTGAACCGCAGTTAAATAGAAACTGTACCTGGCAAACAGCAGGCACCCAATAAATGCTGGGCTTTATTATTATATTACAGATCAAAGGTTCTTAACCAGGGGCCATCCTGCCCCCGGGGAACCCCAGGCCATGTGTGGGGACATCTCTGGCTGTCCCAACTGGGGGGTGCTCCTGGCATAGAGAGGGTGGGGTCAGGGATGCTGCCTGGCCCCCACTTGCCCCCCCCAACAGAGAATGACCTGACCCGAGTGTCATTCGTGCCGAGGGGGAGAGTCCCTACAACCAATAAACCAGAATCACAACCACAGTTTTATTTTTGTTTTGCAAGAGGCAGTCGTGGGCTCAGAGAGGTCAACTGACTTGCCCAAAGTCACACAGCGAGCTAGGGCTGGGGGGCTCTCCACCAATGTGCCCTTGGCTCTGGGAGTCATGTGTGCTGCCCAGTGACTGCGCGACCCGACACGTCCCCCTGATGTGTCACATTTGGCCTCTCAGAGCCTCAGCTTTGCTCATTTAGAAAGCAGGAATAAGAATGCCTTCTGGCTTCCAGGGTCAGAGGGAAATTAAAACCGATAGTGTGTGAAAACCACCTAACTCAATAGCCACGGGCCACTGTAACCCATTATCATTACGGAAGACCAGAACTTGGGAACCTGGGTCCAAACGCTGGCTGGACCTCTGGGTGCCATGCAACCCCCGGGAGGTGGCATCCCCTCTCTGTGCCTTGTTTCTTCAAGTGGGGACAATAAAAGCACCGATCTTACAGGAACTTGACACAACGATTAAATGTGTTGGTCTGTGTCAAATACATAGCTCGGGGCCTAGCATGCAGTAAGCACCCAATAAATGTTACTGCGGTTATAATTCATAGTTAGAACAGTCCCCACGTGTCTGAATTGTCTCCTTCCTTCTCTGCACCTCAGTCTCCCATCTAGAAAATGGGCTGATTGCCTCAGACTTGTTCATCTGGGCATTCTTGGATTTCCCCCAACCTCTGTTGGGTGGAAACCTCCCCCCCAAGGGAGCGCAGGGAAAGGGGGACGCACCTTCTTGTCCTTCTCCTTGGCCATGTCCAGGGCCTCCTGAGCGCGGCTCTGGGCCTGGCGTGCCCGCTCGGCCTCGGTGCGTAGTCCCCGCAGCTGCTGCTCTGCTGTGGCCAGCTGGGCCTCAGCGGCGTGCCGCTCACTCTTCATGAACAACGCCTCCCTCTGGACCTGCAGCCCAAGCCCACATGTGACCCTGAGGACACGGCGACCCCAGAGTCTCCTGACCCTTCCATCCTGGCCTGAGAACATTCCAGCCCAACTTGATATTGAGGAGTTCAACTCAGGGGGTCCTGGGTTCTTCCCAGACACCACGACGATTCCGACCCATCCTGACACTTCTGAAGTGCTAGCTGTGTGGCCTTGGACAACTGACTTAACCTCTCTGTGTCCATTTCCTCATACGTAAAATCAGGGTAGTAATAGCCCCCACATCGCAGAGTAATTGTGAGAAGGAAATGGGACAAATCCCGGGCATGTGCTTCCAAGAGTGGCTGGTGCACAGGGAACGTGAGGTTCAAGGTGCTATAGTGTCACTGTCACTAGCCTTCCTTTCTCTGTCCGTGTTGTAAAGGCTTATCGGTTTCTTACAAAAGAAAACAAAGCCAGAAGAACGTGAATGAGAAGCAAACCAATGTCCACAAGTTGATGACTGCATTTTCACAAAAATATCAAGATCAGAGCAATGTCAGCTTTGCAAACATTGGCCCTCCCGGGGACGGGGGGTGTGTCGGACATCGGCCTTTGTAGAAATAATAGCTGCAGGGGAGTGTGGGTAAGTAGATGCTCCACTCAGTACAGACTGGCTACATCTCTCTTATTTTATTTAAGATTTTATTTATTTATTTGACAGAGAGAGACACAGCGAGAGAGGGAACACAAGCAGAGGCAGTGGGAGAGGGAGAAGGGGAGAAGCAGGCTTCCTGCTGAGCAGGGAGCCCGATGCGGGGCTCAATCTGAGTACCCCAGGATCAGGACCTGAGCCAAAGGCAGACGCTCAATAACAGAGCCACACTCTGTCAAATAAATAAATAAAATCTTAAATATGTGTGTGTGTGTGTGTGTGTATATATATATATACACACACACATATATATAATCACATTTCCTGGTCTTAAATAAATGAACACCTCAGCATCAAAATCTACTAGGTTCAAAACATTAAAGATTATGATAATAATACATATAATAAGTAATAAATATATTAAAATATATAAATATAATAAAATAAAAATAATATATAAATATAATAAAAATATAATAAAAATCAGTAATTATTATAATAATAAAAATAATAAAAATTAGATTAAAAATAATGTTCAAAACATTAGATTAAAAACCTCCTACTCTTGGGCTAAAGCATCAAAAATGACCCAGAGGCAAAATGACAAATTCTGAACAGCCGGCCAGAAGAACCACAGGGAGCTTTCAGGCTAGCAGAGAAAGTGGACGTCATAGTAAAAAACATCAGGGCAAAAAGCCCAATTCCCTGCCTACAAAACCACAAGTGGACATTGATC